AATCCTAGCTATTCCTGGTACTTGGTTCTTTCCACATAAACCTGCCTATTATCTTTAGCATCCTGGGGCTTTCCTGATCGCACACTCGACTTATAACAAGTTATAACTTCCAGTCTGTCCCTGTTCCTCATCACTATTTAGCTCACATGTTCTCATCCCAACATTCAAGGGCCTCAGAACTTCCTTCTCTCTACATTTTCCTTCGCAGAAGCAAACAGAAAGAGCCTCTCACTCTGTTCCCTTCCTCGGTGTCTCATGGGAATCAGGCCTAGACTTCAGAAAGTAGCTCACCAGTACATCACCCAAATGCCTGTGTTCCTAACACTGTCCCCATGAACTTGCCTTCTCTCTCTAGGCTAGTCTCACAGAAAAACCCTATGTGTTTATTATCTATCTATCTATCTATCTATCTATCTATCTATCTATCTATCTATCATCTTTACACCAGATCATCACCCACCAGTGACAATTCATTCCGTTCATTTCATAACCCTTCACAGCATGCAGAGAGCAATGAAGCTTGCACACAGAAACCCCTGGTCGGTGCTCCCTCTGCAGAGGTGAGCTACCTAGTGGGCTCACATTGGATTTCTTCATTTCCTCTGCCTGGCAGCTGTTGTTCATTTGCCCTGAGCAAGCTCCCAAGTAAGGCAAAGGACTGCGGCTACCCAGGAGCCCTCTCTTCTTGGACAGCATTAAACATACTTTGGCCTCCTTTCTGCTTCCTTAGCAATAGGAGTCCTCCATATATCACAACACACCGTACCTCTCAGACTTCTAGTGCTCTTGCTGTCCCCTCCCTTAGTCACCACAGTGGTTTCTCTGGTGTTTTCTGGAAACCTCAGACAAGCTCAGGACTTTTGTCCTTGTCATTCCCTGCTTCGGGGCTCTTGCTCAGACGTCTGTCTGTCTGCAGGGACACCGTCCTGGGTTAGCACTGTGGAAACCGCAACATCCTCTTCCTCCATGAGCCCAGCCTGGGACTCTCGTCCTCCCTCACCAGCACACATCACCATCTGACGTAAAACACTGCGCTCACCCAGTGCTCCCACAGAATGGAACTCCAAGGGAACAAAGGCTTTGCCTGTCTTTCAGTTTGCTTGCTTTGTTTGTGTTCCTGTGTGCGTGCGTACGTATCTTCACGTGTGGAGGCCTGAGAACAATCTTGGGTGTGCCATTCTTTCCTTAGGAATGCCATCTACCTTATCTTTAGAGACAAAGCCTGTCATTGGCCCAGAGATCACCCATTAGGCTAGGCTGGCCAGCCGGTGAGACCCAGGGCTCCACCTGTCTCTACCAAGTGCTGGGATTACAAGCACAGGCCACCATTCTTAGCTTTATATGGGAATGCTGAGTGTCCAACTCAGGTCCTATGCCTGCATGGCAAACACTTTACTCCACCCACCCACCCACCCATCCATCCATCCACCCACCCACCCATCCATCCACCCACCCATCCATCCATCCACCCACCCACCCACCCACCCACCCATCCATCCACCCACCCACCCACCCATCCATCCACCCATCCATCCACCCATCCATCCATCCATCCACCCACCCACCCATCCATCCATCCATCCATCCATCCATCCATCCACTTATCCTGTATATCTATCTATGATCTATCATCTAACTAAATTTTTTTCTGTTCTGTCCTCAGCACCCAAGGCTGCTCTTGGCATCTAGAACACAGCCAACAAACATCCCCTGATGACAGGAGTGACTGATTGCATGTCGCAGTGGCACACATGTGACTTCTCATAAGCTTCTTCCTCTTTCATTTTTTCACTTGCTCACTGTCCTCTAGTTTGGTTAAAAATTTCTTCCCACAACCCCCTGGGTTCAAGTCTCTTTCCTGTCCCTACTTTCTGGTTCTGCATGGGGCTTTGGGAGGTTGAAATGAGGTGGTGTTCTCATGAATGGACCACAGGCTTAAGTGTGTGTGTGCGTGTGTGTTTGTGCGCGTGTGCATGCGTGTGCATGCCTGCACTTGCCCATGCATGCTCTGGTACAGAGTTTAAAGCAGTGATTTGGGGGGAGAAAAGGAAACTGAGGTAAGAGTGAGGGAGAGGCAGAGGGTGGGGTGTGCCGTGAGTGAAGTCAGAACAATAGACTCTGACAAGCATCAGGGAGAGCCAGGTTACCCATTTCCTTGTCACAGGAGGCCTCTGGCCCTGGCTAAACACATTTAAGATTAGTGCTGTGGCTTAGGTGTGGCCTTCACAGGAATAGGAAGGAGAATAGGAAATGGGTCGTGTTTCCTTTGGCAGCAATATGAGCCCATGTCGCAGTTTTTCAAAAACGGGCTAGGGGAGTGTTTTTGCTTGCATGTGTTCAGTGGTGTAGGTGGCCTCTATGGAATGCTGTGGTGTTTGGTTTCCTGATTGCTCTTCCCTATAAGTAAGAGCAACTTGGTCAGCAGAAGGTCTACACCCGAAGACTGACAGAAAGCCAAAAGCATGGTCGCGGCTAAGACATGGGCAGCAAGCCGTTGAAGCAGCTGACTAAACGGCTCATTTAGTATTACTTGTTATTTGTCCCACTGCCTTGTTGCTTACTAGCATTGGGTATAAGCCAGCAGGGAACAAACTCTGGAGCTAGAAAAGCATCCTTAAAGATGTCTCAATCGCTTTGCATTGACTCCCAGCAGGATTAGCGACTGCGGATTCACGGGCTGGGGACCAGGCTTCCCAGGACCTGGTTCTGATTCTTGAGCTCTGCCACTCTTCCATGCGAGCTGGGCCACCCCCTTCCCCGGGCTAGGATTTCATCTCTTGACCCCACGAATGATGCATTTGGGAGGTCCTTGAGCCAGGGACTCTGAAGGACCGAAGACACACTGGACAAACAAATGTGCCCCCCCACACCCCACAAGACTGTGCTCATAAGACATACGCCACATAAATTTTAAGGAGATTTTTGAGAAGCTTTGGAAAGAAAAAAAAAAACGGGGCAAAATGAGGAAGAGAAGCATGCAGGTAATTGTTCCATATTAGAGGGCCGGGAAGAGTTGTAAGCACTAGAGATACCAGGTTTGAGGCCCGAAAGAGCCTTCCATTAACTAGCTAATGTTAAAGTGGCTGATTGTTAACAAGTCCAGAAAAGAAAGTGAAAACCCCCAAACTATTTCAGGATATCATCTCATGCCACATGGCAAGGTTCACGTGGATTCAAGAATGAACCAGTGTGAAATGAAATCTAGAAGAAATAAACTTTGATTGATGAACAAGAAAGCACATTCTGAACTTAAAAGCAAATCAGAACTACAGGGAAAATTACAGATTTAGCAATTTAAAATGGAGATTTCTGTGCACCTGTAATAAAGGCAATACAAAATTAAAAGTCAAAGAGCATGGAAAGTATCTGCAATAAATATGAGATGATTAATATGCCCAATGAATGGAAATGTTCATGCAAACATAAAAAAACACGGCGCAGCATAAAATGCATGAGGGAATACAAATAATTCACAAAAGAAAGTAGCTAACATGAAAAAAAATTCATCTTTCCTAATGCCTCCAAGGTATGCCAAGTAACAACCTCTGTCTGTCTTTCTCTCTAAAAACTATAGATAACACTCTTGGTGATGTTCCAAATGGCAAGACTGACTTTCTAACACGGTAACTCTGAATTTAAAGTATATATTGTGGCCTAATAACCCACTTTTTATAACCTTATCTCAAGACAGTATCAGGAATGCAACCCCTGATTTATACATAGGACGGGTTATCACAATACTAGGCATAACGCTTGAATTCCCAACGTCAGATATAGCACATCAGGATGATGACAAGGCATGCCGCTCTTAGGAAAGCCAATACACAAGCAGATGTGGTTCGAAGTCATCTACAGAAAGATGCACAGGAGAGAGGGACTAAGGAATTAAAGTCCCAATGCTACCTACCTAGGGCATTTCTGGCTACATTAAAATATTCCCCCAAAGCCGGTGTTGGTGGCACACGCCTTTAATCCCAGCACTCGGGAGGCAGAGGCAGGCGGATCTCTGTAAGTTCGAGACCAGCCTGGACTACCAAGCGAGTTCCAGGACAGCCTCCAAAGCCACAGAGAAACCCTGTCTCGAAAAACCAAAAAAAAAAAAAAAAAAAAAAAAAAAAATTCCCCCAAATTATGTGCCATTTGTGAAAAAGTGAAATTCATAAAACAAGCCACCATAGCCTTAGTAATTCAATAATGAGGGAACCAGAACAATAAGTTTAGAAAAGGGTATGAGTGAAACAATATTCCAGCTAGCGAATAACCTCAGACCCGAGGTTACAAGACCTGGTAGAGGAAGACAATACTGAAAATGTGCTTCAGTTGCCTCGAAGAAAAGAAATACTTTCCCCGTTTTCTCTTCTCTCCTTGTTGAACAACTCCTTTGATTTTACAGATTAAAGAAGTGTAATGGATGGTGTTAATCAGTCCAAATTTAAAAAACAAAAAACAAAACAAAAAACAAAAATCAGAACCTCCAAACGCTCAAGATCTGTTCCAGGGGACAGCCTCCGCCCCTCCATCCCCACGCCACGAGTTTGCTTTGGGGGTTGAAAAGCAGTCTACAACAACACAGGATCTTAAAGTCTCTTAGATTCTACACTCCTGTTTTAGCCAAGATCACAGACTTTTCCTTGGTATTTTCTGAAGTTGACCGCTGCAGTGACCTGGTTTTGTTTGTCTGCCTATTTCTAGAGAAGAGTGCGTCCCGGAGCCACAGATATTTACTGGTCCAGGCTGTGCAAAGCCCCGGCTACACGCAGTTAGTCTGAGTGTTTCTAACCATCCACCAACGTCACCTTCTCGGTCTCCGCGGCAGAGATGCAGCGATGCTTAAGGGCATGGGTTAGGACAGAGGTGGAAGGGTTAGATTACACCCCGGGGAGAGACGAGGCCACGGACACCAAACAAGCCTTTCTCCCCCTTTGTGTGTTGCTAGAATGTCAAGTATGTGAGCCTCAAACATCTCGGTCTCCACTGTGGAGCCCTGAGGAGCTACTTACGAAAACCGAGGCCAGAGCCCACGAACACTCATCAAAAGGTGGCACAGGGAATCGGCTTCGGGGAGTGGATTCGCTCCTGGGCTGCTTTCCAACGTCAGGCTCCGGGAGCTAGGACAGAGCTGCAGGCAGCTAGTGTCTCGCCTGCGTTCGCAGCGGTGTCCAAGTAAACAACTCTCTGAACTTTGGTACATTTGTCCCTATCAGCTGATTTCACTTTCGTTTTTCAACTTGCCTTTGTCTTATGACTTTTCAGAAACGAAGAGCATAAACAACTTGTTGCTCACCGGGGCGCATGACCCACCCCGGAGCACACAGTGAGCCGGGTGAGGGTCCTGTGCTACACTGTAGCTTCCCAAGGGAGAGGAGAAGCCAGCTTCCAGAGCTCCAGGGGATGCCACTCAGATAAACACGACCTGGAATCTTTCTAGGCAGGGACCTTAGATCATGTGACCAACCTCCCAGGCAGCGCAGCAGCAGGTCCCCTCATTCATTTGGAAGGCAGCTGTGCCGTGGACTGGAAATTTACCATTAGCAATGGAACGCTCAACAGTTATGGAGCAACAGGAACAGTGTGATCCCGTTTCGAACTAAAAGAAAAAGACAGCTTTCAGTGCTGAAATCTCAGGGAGGGGGACTCCTGGCCTTCTTTCCTCACGTGGTCGCGGGAACTTTGGAATTGGGCAAGCTTGGGGAAGACAGTAGACAGCTCCCCAAGAACGCTAAAGTCTAGGGTTTCTCTTCCTTTTGCCATGACGCCCTGTCCCCAACTGGAGTCTTACTACATCCTAGGGATTCCCTTTGCCTCTGTGCTAGGTTAGACGTCTTCTTTTTCTGGGTCAAAAGCTTTTCTCTTCCTTGGTTTATTCCCTTTAATTAGAATTAATCTCCGGGGATTTCTTGAGAAATGAGGAACACCAAAGATAATTTTTTTTATTAAAGTTTGCCAAACTGATATCTTTTTTTTATTCTTATTCTTGGTCAGAGTTGGACAAGGCATAGCAGTTTTGAACTCATTTTCCTTTGAAGTGTTGAGGCTGTATTCCAAGCTGTCTACCTTCCCTATTATTATTGGCAAGTTCAAAGCCAGCCTCCTTCCTACTGTTGAAAAAAAGTGACGTTTTAGTGAGGTCTCAGGAAGAAAAAATTCCATGTGCAACCATTTTGCCATTTTCAACTGGACGTCTAAGTCAACTCCGTGCCCCTCCCATGTTTCTTCCTGTCCGTTTGCTGTTGTGAGGCAGGGTCTCACCATGTGTGTAGCTCAGGCTGCCCTCCAGCCCTCAGAAATCCTCCTGCCTTTGCTTCCCAAGAGCTGGGTTTACAGACCATGTTTGGCTCCTCCTTTTTTTTTCCTTTTGTTTTCATTCCAACAGGGCTAGCTTGCTTGGTTGCTCACTGGTTCTCTGATGATCTACCGGCCTGGTCCGTGGTTAAGCTTATTGCTTTTAATAAGCAACTAGCTCAGGCTGCCAAAGCCTCTGTTGCTTAGGGATCACTTCTGCCCTCAAATTTCCCACACTCTGCTAAGCGAGCTTGCTTGGGAAGAGTCTGGGAGCTCTGTTTTCCCTGAGACCTAGCATCTGAACCACCACCGTGGAACTGCACTTTTTTGACACGGCTATTGTTAGAGTAGGGGCTGGTGAGGCAGGAGTCTGGCCTTCTCAGCTTGGCAGTTCCCACATGGAACTTCTATCTTATGAAGAAGCTGGGCAAAGGTGCCTCCATCCAGCATTCTAACCAGCCAAAGCTGGGGAAGAGCTTTTGTACTATGGCTGGGTGTGGTGAGGTGTTATGATTTATTAAAGCTTGTCTGAGGATTCAGAAAGCAAAGTCAGTCACAAGGCGTAGAAGCCAGACACACACACCTTTAATCCCAGCATCCAGAAAAGGTACGGGCCACTATTACCACTCCCTCAGGCTGAAGAGGTGGATCCTGCTGCCTGTCCTCAGTGTCGTTGGAGAACAAAGGCCTGATACTGACTTTGCTCCTGTTTTATATACCGCTCTAGTCCTGGGATTAAAGACGTGAGCTCTTTTAGACTGATTCAATCTGGTGTATCCCTGGGTGGCCTTGAACTCAGAGAGATCTGTCTACCTCTTAATCCTGAGACCTAGGATTAAAGGTGTATACCACCACCTCCTAGCTTCTTGCTGCTGGGATTAAAGGCTTCTATGGTTTGTGATTGACTTTGCTTTCTGAACCCTCAGGCAAGCTTTAATAAATCATGAATAATGTATCACTACAGTTGGGTGGAAAGGGTGTCTCTAATCTGGTTGCACCTGCTTGGAGCAACTTGCCTCTGCAATTTAGAGAGGGACTGAAGGAGGGGGGAAGTCGTGGTGGCGTATACCCTTGCTGTTATTATGAGGGCTCTGTAACTTTTCTGGAATGCACATCTTTTCATTTGTGGTGTGTATTTATTGTGAGTGTGGATGAGTCTCTCTCTCTCTCTCTCTCTCTCTCTCTCTCTCTCTCACACACACACACACACACACACACACACACACATACACACGACTGTGGAAGTCAGAGGACAACTCGCAGGAGTTATTCTCTCCTTCCATGTGGGCTCCAGAGAGTCGCCTCAGGCCGTGAGGTCTGGAAGGAAGCTCCTTTAATTACTTGCTGAGCCATCTCACTGGCCCTGGAATATATTTTGGGAACAACTTCTGGAGACTTTAGTTCTTCTAATAATATTTACTACTTTTTTTTTATCTTAAATCAGGGACCAAGTAAGGAAACTATCCATTCTAGGAGTGGATCACTGCCTACTTTTTATATTTCTGAAAAAAATTCCAAAATTTTAGGTTCATAGCAAAATAGAGATGAATGTATATATGTGTTTGTGTATATATATGTATATATATATTCTGACTAACAGTGTCATCTAGACTTTCTCCTGTATCGTCTTCTAGTGTTTAACAGACTTGAATGTGATCGATGATCCACTTTGAGTTAATTTTTGTGGTGTGCGGCTTGTGTCTGAATCTCATTTTGTTTGTTTTGTATATAGGTGTTCGTTGCTCTAGCACAGCCATGGAAAGGACTGTCTTTGCTCTACTGAGCTGGTTGGTTCTTTTTCCAGAAGTTTTCTGGGTTATTTTGTCCCACTGGTCTGTTGATTCTTCTCCCAGTATTAATCGTTATAGCTGTAGGGTCTTGAAGTCAATTAATGTCAGTCCCCTGACTTGGCTCTCTTGAAATATTGTGTGGGCTGCTTCCATACAAACTCCAGAACCAGTTTGTTGATGTCCACAAAGTAATGTCTGTAGTTTTAAGACTGACCCATTGATCAAGTTGTGAAGAGCTAACATTTTAATACTGGGCCTTCCTAGTTATGAACATAAAATATAGCTCCATTTAGTTAACTCTTTGATCTCTCCAACTTTTTAAATTTTTTCCTTATGTATATTTTGATGTTTTGTTAGATTTTCACCTATTAATGATCTTGTGATTTTTATCTTCAAATTCTAAATGCTCATTGCTGGGGTGCTTATGGAAATTTACTTTTGCATATTAGGTGTGTTTGTCACGTGAATAATAAAAACTCAGAGACAGATACTGGGGTTCAAGCTGAAGATCAGAAAAGCAAAGCAGCCTAGCCACTAGAGAGTTTCTTACCTCTACTAAGGCTCAGACCAAAGGGGTGTGGGATCCTGTCTTCAGTGTGACTGTGGACAGCCCGAGTTCCTGTCTCCTCCCCTCTTATATACTATCTGGTGCTGGTATTGAAGGTATGCACCACCACCGACTGGCCTCTGTGGCTAACTAGTGTGGTTGCTGGGATTAAAGGTGTGTACTACCGCTGCCTGGCCAGTATGGGTGACTAGTGTGGCTAGCTTTGCACTCTGATTTTCAGGCAAGCTTTATTTGTTAGATCATAAACAAAATATCACATTTCCACTTTTTGTCTAATATAAGAAAAACTACATACAATAAGTACAATAACTATATACAATATGTACAGACAATACATCAACAGTGTAGTTCATTTGCATTTGACAAATTCAGAGAAAATACTCCATTATCTATCCTATCTTGGTGAGTCCAGGGTTGTACGTAATTTACTTTCTATTCTAATTGCATTATCAAATTAATGTCTCTCAACACTTTGCACTTTACATCTCTTTAGTGAGTTTCCATTCTGAATCTGGTAATCAAGGAAAACTATAACCATCTAGTCTTCAACTCCCTCAGAAACACGAGTAGGAAATAATATTAATTGAGTAAGCAGAAAGTGTGAGCAAGCAACTTCCAAAAAGTGTGGAAGTGACAGAAACAGCTGGCTGCCTGGACAGTCAGCCAAGGATCCTCTGCAACGTTGGGGCACTTGTCTTCAGGCTACAGGCCTAGAACATTTGGCATACATTAATTAGTCTTTTATTGCTTTGGCAAACTACCTTTGAAAATAAGCTGGTAAGAAGGAAAATATAATTTTCATTCATGGTTTTGGAGGCTTTACCCACAACAGGACAAACAAACAAACAAAAATCTTTCAAAAATCAAAGAAAGTGAAATAACCCTAAGTATAATATGTACCCACAATGCAGCAAAACTTAAAGTCAATAGCAAGTGAATCCTGGTAATTACAAAAACTCATGGCAATTAAAACATACCACCAAATGATGAATAGACCAAAGAAATCCACAAAGAAAAATTTAAAACTCCCAGAATTAAATGAAAATATAGCACACAGAACCTCTGGGACACTTCACAAGCAGTCTGAAAAGGAAAAAATTACAGCTCTAAGAACCTACACTAAAAAATCAGAAAGAACACAAATAAACGACTTGATTCATCTCAAAAGTTTGGAAAAACATGAACAAACCAGCCCCAAATCCAGTAGGTGGAAAAAAATAATAAAAATCTGAGTAGGAATTAAAGAAAAGAACATGTAACTCAATAAATGTATTAAGTCATACAACTGGACTTAAAGACAAAAATCACATAATCATCTCAGTAGGCACAGGAAAGGTATTTGACCAACTCCAACTTGTCTTCATGATAAAAGTCCTAGAGAGAGTAGGATTGGCGGGAACGCAGCTCAACATTATAAGCCTGTATATGACAGACCCGTAGCCAACATCATCCTAAATGGAGAAAAGCCTCGGCATTCATTAGTGTCTTAAATTCTGAGCTGTCCCTTTGGGTCTTAGCGCTTACAGATCTCCGTATTACTCATCCTTACCCACACTGCCTACTTATTCCACTCAGAGTCTTGGCAAATTAATCTAGTTACTGTAAATTCCTGGGAGATCTGATGCAGTTTTTCCAGAGAAGGTAACATTTGAGTTTAATCTTCAAGGAGAAGTAGAGGATTTCCAGTTGTTCTGCTAGGTTTCCATCATAAGATCAGATAGAATGAATGGCCTTTATGGAAGAGTGGCATACTTAGAAAATTTAAATACCATAACATGAAGAACAGTGAAAATGATTTACATATATTCTTGTACGCTACATGCCAGGCATTTGTAGCAACTGAGAGACAAGGGGAGGGTTATTAGATAGCTCAGTGGCCATAGACACTTGCTGCCAAGCCTGACCACCTGAGCTCGTCCCTGTCCCCATGTGGTAGGAGAACACACTCCAGGAAATTGTCTTCTGACCTCCAGGTGTACCATGGCATACATGACATAATGGCACATGAGAGTCACACATCCCCACACACAAAACAGTAAGTAATACAGTAAGACACAAAAAAACAGGACACAAGGCGGGGGATTATAAGGGAAAGGATGGTCAAATAATTAAGGCTATTCCTCTGCACACCTCAGTCTTCCAAGAGACCAGTTTGTTAGTTTGGTTACACTCACAAAGATATTCAACCCTTAAGTTTGTAGTCTCAAACTTTCATATGATTGAAGTTTCAAAGAACAAATGTCAATTTAAACTTTTAGATTTCCATGAAGTTTAGTTTTCCTTGATTTATGAGAACAAGGGCAAGTTGACTTTTGAGAGTCTGTACTCTACTGTGGTGTCAGTTACCAAAGGAAGAGTTCCTAGTAAAGAGATTAGGGACCTCTCTGAGAACCCCAATAGCCACCCCCAACTCCAGTCCTTCTTCCTGAGAAAAACAGTTGTTTCCTACCATGTGCAAGGAGTTTTGAGGACATGTATGGTCAAAATTCCCTGTAAATAACGTTTCTTCTCTGAACATGTGAGCTCGTCTTGTCTTTTCATCTACTGAAACACTGACTGCAGAGTCTGCTCACATCACTTAGACCTGTGCCAGCTGTGCCTCCGTCTTCACGGACACACTTGCTACACTTACCCTCTGCACACGCTGCGGGGACCTCCTTCTGCTCACTGTATTTTTCTGTCTGTGTGACACTGGGATATAAAGCAGGGCCTCCCCACACTCGGGGCATGCTTATCTGTCACAGAGCGACACCCCTTCCCTCCTCTTTGTTTTAGTCTTCCAGTTGGATGCGGGGCTTCATTAATGCTGCTGAGACTGCTCTTGGACTCATGTTGTAGCCCAGGCAAGCCTTGAACTTGTGATCTGTCTCAACCAGGCTTCTAAGCAGATGGGATTACAACCCCGCGCCCCCACTCCTGACAGCTTACCACATTATGACAAACATGAAGTGTAGAACTTGCTTCTGAAGTATCCATTTGAATAAAAGACTGGAGGTGGGCATGCACTGACTCTAGGAGACACGGAACTTCTAATCTGTTACAACTTTGCATAACTGTGAGAGGTAAAATGACTTCAAAACCACTATACATTTCTATGTAATTTGGTTCCACCTTTGGTCTGTGCAATTAGCATCTTTCAATATGTGCTGTCTCATCAACTGGAGGAACACAAGTTAGTGCTTTACTATATATTCTTATTCAGTTCTTATTCGTATTTACCTTGCTACTTCTAAATGTTGCCCAGGCTAGTCTTGAATCACTGACCTTCTGCCTCTACCTCCCAAGTGCTGGGATTACTAGTGGATGCCACTATGCTCAGCTGTCATGTGTGTTCACAGGAACAATTATAGGATGCTTTTCTAGAAGGGAGAAATATTGTTTATTTCTCTAGCACACCAACTATATATAAGAGGTTCAGGAAATGGTTGGCTGCTAATTTGTCAAAGCAACTAAAATCATTAATAGCATGTCTTTCCTTTCTTGAAGTTTTAGTTTCCTGTTGTTATATACATGCATAATTTTGGAAGAAATCAAGTTTCAAGCTTTTCCCCATGTTGATACAAATTAAATATATGTGTTTTTAAATTTTCTATATTTCCTCTGGAGTTTTATAATCTCTGAAAGATGTTTCCTCTAAGGAAGATGGGCTATGTAAACTCTGTAGTTGGGTATCCACACACACATGTGTAGAGGGAGGGGAGGGCCAGGGAAGGGGATGGCTGATTTTTGCTGTGTCAGCACGTCTCGATCAGTCACAGTTATCAGAGTCACTTTCGGCTTTTGGTTAACTGTTGTCTTGGAATTTCAGGTGGAAGGTGAGCAGGTCATCGCTCTTACTTGGTTTCTTGTTATTTTTAGTTAGATGGGGAACTACCTGCTCAGAGCTCTTTAGGATGGAGTCTTCATGCTGAAGACTGTTGTCTCTGACAGTATCGGCATCCATTGTAGAACGTGAGGGAAGAGTCTCCCGTTTGCTGCTGGGAAGCATCGCATCTTCAGTGGCTCTGGCCCAGAGTTCAGAATGCTTTTTCCTCTTCTGAAGATTGCAGAGGGGTGATAAACTTTCAAATGAGCTCTGGGGCACAGACCGGAGCCATTCTGAGGTGTTTGTCATAAGATTCCTTTGGGTTTTAGAAGGGAGATTTCTGGTTGGTGTCCAAGGTGTGCTGTATCTTCTTATATTTATGCAAGTAGCTGGAATAAATCTAGAAAAGAAATGAAATGTATGAGTTTTTGCCTAGTGTATACCTAGGTATACTGTCATAATGCAGATTGCATATTTTCCCTCAGGTGAGCTCATTGGCCCTTAAGAATTTATCCTATTCATCTCTGGCTCTGAGTGTTTGGCTCTACTCCAGTCCTGTTCTAGGTGTCCAGAGGATGTGGTTATTTGGTACCTTCTTCAGGACTCATTGACTTTATATGTCTAGTCTATACCTTGCCATTAAAATGTAGTTTATTTCACTTATACTTGGTATAAGATTTTTTAGGTAACTAGTAAGGAGTCAATGAGTTTGAGAGATAAATGTTTCCCTCGAGAGGGAGATTTTTTAAATCATTACTTGTAGCTACTTAGAGTCTATTTTTCTTTAGAATTCTATTTAACTGGGGACTTTAGCCACACTTTCATTAAACTTTTAAGTTATGAAGTAGTTGCAGCATCATGTGCACTTGGAAGAAATAATGAGATAGATGGCATGTATCCTTCACCTGATCCCTCTAAATGTGACAGTCTGTAAGTCACAGTGAGCATGCTGACATTGGTGTGGACAAGACACAGATCCATGCCCTCATGTTGGTTTCACAGCACCCACCCCTCCTGCCTTTACTTCTCTTTAACTCCCGGAAAACATTAACTTGTCTTCCAAACCGCATCATTTTATTACTTCAAGACTATTATGTAAATGTAACCACACAGTGTGCAACCTTTTCGAATTAATTTTTCTACCCACCCAGTATAATGTTTGGAGGTTCATTGCTGTACTGTTTCTCATCTACTCATTTTAATCATTTTTTAGTAGTAGTTAGTGGCATGGATCTATACACTACGGTTTAATGATTTATCAGACCTGTGGATCATTTCCAGTCTATGGGCATTGCAAATAAAGCTGAATAAACATTTGTGTGCAGGGTTTTGTGTGAACCTGTTTTCTTTTCACAGGGATGAAATTCTAGGAAAGCAGTTGCTAGTTATATGGTATTATATATTTATTTTTCTGTTTCATTTTTGAAAGAGACTCTTGTTATGTTGTCTGGGGTGGCCTTGAACTTACAGCTTTCCTAACTGGTCCCTCATCAAGTGCTAGGATTACAGGTTTGCGCTGTCACATCCAGCTGTGAGGTACTTAGTTAAGAAACCATCAGCTATTTTTAGAGTATTTACCCCATCTTGTGTTGCCAACAGTAATATATAAATGCCCAGCGTCTGCACCCTCACTGGTGTGTGGTGGTGCTTCATGTTTTTGTTTAGCTGTTCCTCTGTGTGTGCAGTGATAGCACACTGTGTATCAGCTCGCATGCTGATGCTAACACTCCCTGCTTTTGTGTGTCACCCGTGCACTGCTTAGTTCAGTGCCTATCTCTGTTGCCCATTTTCTAATGGAACTAACTTTTCTATAAAGTACATTCTGATCAGTTTCCCCTCCCGCATCTCGTCCCCAAGGCACCTCACCTCCTTACCCATCCGATCTTTAGAAAACAAGCACGCCAATAAAAAAAGCCAAACAAACCAGAATAGAACAAAGCAAAAAGAGTTCCTAATTCTTTTTTTACACAAGTCTTTTTCTATTTTATTTGTTTTTTTATGTACATTGGTATTTTGCCTGCATGTATGTCTATGTGAGGGTGTCAGATCCCCTGGAACAGGGGTTACAGACAGTTGTGAGCTGCCAGGTGGGTGCTGGGAATTGAACTAGGTCCTCTGGGAGAGCAGTCACTGCTCTCAACCCCTGAGCCATGTCTTCTGCCCGAGTTCCTAGTTCTTAATATGGCAGTTTGCTATTATTACTGATAAAAACATACATAAACTTTCTTATTATAGGCCTGTAGATTTTATTTAAATCTGCTTTTAGTTAGCTTTTCTAACTGCTCCAGATTATTGAGTATCGCACCGTGGAAACTGAGTAGAAGGCTATAGAAAGTTCTAGGCTAGCCTACAATACACAAACAAGTCCTTTGTCTCAGAACAAACAAACAAGACAAAACAACAACAAAAATCACCCCATTATTGCCAGAAGAATTAGAGTTCAGGTTCCTCAAAAGGAGTCTGTCGACATCAGAGGTTTCTAATTACCACTGGGCAAGTGTCCTATCTCTTTAATTAGCCTCTGTTGATACTGTGAGGTGGGTTTATTGATTTGGGCTTTGGTGAAGTTGTAGAGTCCTTACGTGGTTTCCAGTGCCTTTTGGGGAAAGGTGACCTTTATAGACCAGTGTTAAAATATCTGATTTCACATGTTCTTCCTTGACACTACTAGAACGCAGTTGTCTCACATGAGTGTAGTCAACATTTGTCACATGGTATCTGCTTACATAGGCTGGCATGGGCCCCTACTATCTGTGGTATTTAGCTGGGACAGAATGGTTATTGCCGAGTAATTTTCTGTCCTGGTAGGCTGTCATTCTCCTGATGCTTTGGGTATATAGCCCAGGCATTTACTGGAGTTTCTGTGCACTTGTTTCTATCTATGGGTGTTTCCAGATTGCGGTTTCATCAGCTTCAAGTCTTAGACATATGAGTTAAAAAGTAAGGCCAGAGATTTTCCACCATGCCATTATCTGGCTCTTCAAAGTCCCTGCTACTCACCATCTTTTGGAGTAGTCTCATTTTGTTTTAGCTGTAACACCCAAGGGTTTTGAGAATAGGGAAAATAGATCTGGTTCATCAAGATGTGAAAAGTCTAGTTTCATCCTGATTTACAAAACCCTCAGCAATTTTCGCTGCTACTCTAAATGGAATGACAAACATGGATTTATTCTTCAGTATCTGTACTCTGATGAGTGTTTGAATAGATAAAAATTGAAGGACTATTGAGAGATCCCAAGTCAACATTCTTAGACCCCTAGCGACTAGCCCATCACAGAGTGACTTGCCCTTCTGCCCTCTCCTGAGAAACCGGAGACCTCAAGACAAACTTAAAAGATAACCTGCCCTGATCCAGGAACTAGCTCACCACATTCCTGCTCAATGTTTAACTGTACAATGCCCAAAGAATGCTTGCTTGAGACAACCTTCCTGTTAAGACATAAGCTATCATTTAACTTCTCATCCTTTATGATGTTTGCCTAACTCCCCGATTCGGTTTTTCCCTTTAAAAAACCTCCGACTGCAGCTACTAGGGGTCGATTTCCTCTGCCCCTGCGAAGGTCATGAGCTCGGCCCCAGTGCACTGGTTCCCCCGAATAAACCTCCTGTGCTTGCAGCAAGAACGGTCTCTCTTGAATTATTGGGGCATCGGCTTATCCTGAGACCTGAGTGAGGGTCTCCCCACTCTGGAGGTCTTTCACTATAAACCATCTCAGTTCATGGCATCAGCTGTAACCCTCCCAGGCCCTATTCATTTTGGATTGAGAGCAGAACAGACGATTGCAATGCTGACACTGTAATTATGTGCAAAGTGTCAGTTTCCACCTGACACCTGCAAGCTGTTGTGGCACTTTAGTCTTTCTGTGATTCAAATGGACACATTCATTCCCAACACAGCTTAGCAAAGCAGGCTCTTATTTCTTGCTCACCCCTTATTCTACTTTACCCTGTATCGGTACCTATAGTCAGCAGTGTGGAACACTGCTGTGCCTGTCAAACCAAGACATATAGGACAGAGAAAAGGCATCCTGAAAGAGAGCTCTAAAACAAACAACAAAGCAGATTAAACTAAATAAACATACACAAAACTTACAACTAACAAACAAACCAATGAACTTGATGTTTAAACACACAGTGAAAGCCTATCTGCTAAGAATGGTCTTGTTGCTACTTTCCTATTGTTACTGTTTCTCGTTCACCCACAGAAGATACTTCTAGGCGGTTTTGCTATAGGCACAATTTGACTGTATATCAAGGACACAGCTTCCAATAGTCCTAAGTAACTATGTGACCTCCATCCATTAGCACAGTTGCCAATCATCTTTCCCTAGAATCTAGAACTTGGAACCAGAGACAGTGACTCATGCTTGTAGACAAACAACTCACATCTTATAAGATACAAATCTGGGAGGGGGAGTGGCTGCCTTTCACAGAGAGGTACAAACAGAACCTAAAGTGTAAAAGCCCTGGAGGATTTCTCCTCCCTAGTTCCAGTCCTGGATAATGCTTTTTCTTTCTGTTTTCACAAATCACCTTAAATTTTTTATAATTCTTCCCTCTTATAATTACTATAGCTATTTTAGATTGTTTTCTGTTATCTGTAAACAAAGAAGTCTAGTTGCTATATAGTATTTGTCAACACCTTCAGCCTCCGGCCTGTCCACACTGAGAGTATTTGTAGATTTGAAGTATGTAAAGACTCTTGTATTATAATGACTATAAAATTATTACTGAGGCCTATCGCTAACTCTAGAGTCTCAATTTCTCAGGCTCTTTGCTAACATCGATTGCATTTTATAATTTCAAAACTTTTTGATATTTGCTCATGTTTGCTACCATGCATATGCATGCCTCCCATGTGTGTGCAGGTGCCCAAAAGGCCTGAAGAGTTGTAGGCAGTTGTGAGCTGCCGTGCGGGTGCTGGGGAGTGTATGCGGGTTCTCTACAAGAGCAGCAAGCACTCTAAACAGGTGGCCATCTCTCCAGCCTTAGTGAAGCAGAAGAAAGGATAGGCGGGGCTGGCAGACAGACAGAACAAATAGGAGGAGAAATCTGAGAAGAAAAAGGAGCAAGAAGGAGAGGAATGTATCAGGGGCTAGCCACACAGCAAGACGAGGCAACAGGTGGACAGGTGAATTTAAGTTAAGAAAAGCTGGCAAGAATAAGCCAAGCTAAGGCAGGTCATAAGAAAGGAAGAATAAGCCTCCATGTGTGTGATTTATTTGGGAGCTGGATTGTACGCCCCCCCAAAAGAGAGAAAATCCAAAGAGTAAAAATACCACCAAGAATACAGGAAGTGTTCAATCCTCTGGAGCTGGATTGTGGGCAGCTGTGAGCTGCTGTGTGGGTGCTGAGAGCTAAACTTCAGTCCCCTGCATGAGCATCGGCCCTCTTAGTCACTGAGACATTTCTTAACTCCCTGATTCATAACCCTGCTGATATCATACTCTATACTTTGTTTGCCGGCCTAGATTCATATTATCTTTTCATATTTTAGCTGTCTTATTATTAAACTCAATTCCTGTCATATAGGGTCTTTCCCATCATGACTGCTATAGCATTCTACTAGAAATAACCACTTTTTTTCCCTGAGACAGGGTTTCTCTGTATTGTTTTGGAGCCTGTCCTGGAACTCGCTGTGTAGATCAGGCTGGCCTCCAACTCACAGTGATCCACCTGCTTCTGCCTCCCGAGTGATGGGATTAAAGGCATGTGCCACCAACGCCCGGCACCATTTTTTTTAATCATATTGATAACTATTATGTGGCTTTGCAAAAGCTATTTAAAGTCCTTGTATCTTTTTTTGTTTGTTTGTTTGTTTTTGTTCCAGACAGGGTTTCTCTGTGTAGCCTTGGCTGTCCTGAAACTCACTCTGTACACCAGGCTGGCCTCAAACTCACAGATCCTCCTGCCAATGCCTCCTGAGTGCTGGGATTAAAGGCGTGTGCCACCACCGCCCAGCTCACATGTTTTTCCTATAAAATGTAAGGTACTCAGTCTATCCTCTGTACTGGGGATTTCTGTATCTGCACAGTCAACCAAGCATAGTTACAAATATATTCAGAGCTGAGATTAGTTATATCCAGGGATGCAGAAACCATAACTATTAGGCCCTATTGGTCATATGTATATAACTTAGAAAATATCTAGCATATGGGAAGTAGTTTACAAAATGTTGTCAAAATACTATTATATTTACTATTTTCAGATTTTATTATCTTTTATTTATGTAGTTTTCCTTTGTGCCTTGGAAATACATCTGTTTTTCATTTTTAAAAGAAATAATCTTATTATTGCTTTCCACTGAGTACCAAATCGTTGATGTAGCCAAGATTAATTATTTTAATCCTGCTCCCTTCACTCAGGAGTATAAAGTTTTAAAATATCTAAAAATTGTCAAGTCGTGCTATAGTTACATCTTCTTACTTTGCAGATACAAACTAAAATACACTATACAAGTAATAGGTCAAATATAATGCCTTATAACTTAACCCTTTACATACCTGGCATATAATTTTGACCTTGGGCTTTGTGATGTAGTTGGTCATGTTTTTAAAAGCTTGTTTGCTTCTAAAGATAATGAACTAACAAGCTGTGTTTCCTTATAAAACTGTATTAAATAGTAAGGAACAGGCTTGGCGGTGGCTTAAAGGTAGAGCATTTGCACAGCACAATAAAGTTCTGGGCTTGTTCCTCAGCAATACATAGATAAGCATGATGAACGCCACTGACTTACTGATGGTGCTGCAAGTCAGCTCCTGGATTGAATAGGTCTTTCATTTGAGTAGCTTTTATGTTTTTAGAGGATTCCACGATAGGGAGTAAGTATTGTAGAATTTCCTGAGTTTGCGCTATTCTCTTATCCCTGTAGATTCTTTTTTCATCGTCTGTCCAATTTGTGCCAGGCCTCTTGCTCTGAAAAGATGTGCATCGTTTTGTTTTGCTTTTCGATTCATGATGCGACTCTAGGAAGAAACCACAAATTTATATAATATATATCTGGACGTATGAATATATTCATTCAGCAATTTTGTATTAAGGCAAATTCCACACCAGGAGTTTTACCTGTAAGTCTTTGCTATTTACAGTTTATGGTTTAATGACAATGGTTAAAAAAATAAGTAAAATGCATAGTGTGTTAGGTGATAAACTTTACAGGGTGAAATAAGGCTAGGAAGGGAAATGGAGAATTCTAGGGGGAATATGGTTGACTTACATATTAAGAAAGTATTAAGAGAAGGCCTATCTATGATCCTGACATATCATAGGAGACATGGATTAAACAAACAGATGCCATGGGAAAGAACATCTGGACAAGGAACATTTGAGGGCAAAGGCCCTCACTAAGACAGGCGTACAGCAGTGTGTGTGGACACCAAGAAAGCAAGTGCATGAAAGGCAGCGGCCTGAATTCAGGGCCCACAGAGCAGTGCTTCTCGACCTTCCTAACACTGGGACCCTTTAATACAACCAAAATTACTTCACTGTTACTTCTTGGTTTTTCTTCTTGCTTGTTTGTTTTTGTTTTTTCAAGACAGGGTTTCTCTGTGTAGCTTTGGAACCTATCCTAGCACTCACTCTGTAGACTAGGCTGGCCTCGAACTCACAGAGATCTACCTTCTTCTGCCTCTGGAGTTATGGGATTAAAGGCAAGTATCAACACTACCTAGCATAATAACATTTAAAAATGTTTATCACATCCTATAGCTTTTAGTCTATTATTAAAAAATAAATCTCTCCCAAACCAGAGAAAATAACAAGTATTGTTATGTATTTAGAGAATTTGGAATCCCTGTATAAATTTTACATTTTACACTGTGAGAGTGTAAAATGGTACAGTTAATGTGGAGAACAGTATAGCGTGTTTCCTCAAAAAGCTAGAAACATATTTATCATGTTTCCAAGTGGATTCCACAAGAATTGAAATTATGGCATAAAAGACAAATTTGTACCCCCATGTTCATAGCAGCATTATTCACAAAGGGAAGCAATCTAAGAGTTCATGGATAGATAATTTGAAAAGTCATTTATCAATATGATAAAATATTGACATTATTAAATCTTGAAGTCATATTCTAAGTAAAATAAGGTAGTCAAAAAGACAAATGCTATATCTGTCTTCTAAATACTCCACTGATAAGGAATGTCTGGGTACAATAAGTAGAATAGTTTCCAGGGGCTGAGAGAAGGAAAAGCAGTCTTTTAGGATAAAAAGAGTTTTGAAGATTCTTTGCAGAAAAATGCCAAAGAATTTAGCACTACTAACCTGTACCCTTAAAAATAGTTAAAAGTAAATTTTATATTACATAGAATTCATCACAACTAAAATGAAATGTCCATACTTAGGAAAAAAATCCGGAAGGAAATCTGCCTATTAGTCTTGCATCTTAAAGAAAGTGACAGGCTCATATATATTATAATATGTAAGTTATTAGTTAATAGCATAAAGAAAAGTAAACCACAAAAAATTAAGTCAAGAAAACACACTGTGCATTGTTGTTTCTTAAAGTGATTATCCAGTTAGAGATATATACTAGATTGTTTACAGGCAAAATTATAATTTGTAGAATCTACTTTAAAACACTCCAGGAAAAACATGGTGGGAATACAGATAAAACAAAAAAAGCTGGAAGCTAATAAAGGAGGGTGGGAAACCCAGTGAGTTCATTATTCTGTACTTTTATGTCTGGAAAACACTCCAGTGAAGTATTGCTGTTTTTTAATAGAATTGTCTATTACCAAAAAGAAAGTAAACCAAATACTAAAACACTCATTAAATTCAGTTGGATCTGAAAGATAACGACTACAATATCTGTCAATGCTGACAAATGAACTTGTACACAGTATCACTAGAAGCCACTATTAGGCTACTGAACAAACACTCACTCAATACCTACTGTGTACCTAGCACTTTAGTTAGTTGGCAATTAAATATGGGAAACATAATTCTTAATTTCATTATGATGGATCAAGACTAGAGACAAACTAAAGCATCAATGAAATTATATGTTTGATTTGTGTGTATGCGTGTGTGCTCGTGCATGTGAATGAATGTGTGTAGTGCACTCACACATGTATGCATATGTGGAGGCCAGGTAGATTTCTGGCATCTTCTACTGCTCCCCATCTTACTTTGAGACAAGGCTTTTCACTGAACCTGAAGCTCACTGACTTAGGCAGACTGGCTAAGCGGAGAGCTCCGGTGATCTGCTTGTCTCCGCCACCCTCCCATAATCCCCCTAACCCATGTGCTGAAGTTGCAGGTGCTGCCACACTTGGCTTTTTATATGGGTGCTGGAGTTCTGAATTCAACTCTTCAAGCTTACTAAATGATTTATTTCCCCTGCCTCAAGAATGTATTCTTATAGGAAAGGTTAGAACACTCACTCAGGTTACAGATAGGTACTTCTAGGGAAACTTATGGATGGGAACAAAGGGTAATGAAAGAGGAAAGCTTCCCAACACATATGCAATTCAGCAGGGTCTTGGATGAGAACTACACTAAGTATAGTAGTGATCTAGATTAAAGTATTTCAAACTGCAGATTATGTAATATTGATTCATGAAAAGTTTGGAAACAGCATAAGGTTTCTGTGATTGGCCTAATAAAACCCTAAACTGCCAATAGCGAGGGAGAATTTTTGGGACAGAGAGAATGCTGGGAAGAAGAGGGCAGAAATGCTGAGAAACAGAGAACAAGCAAGACATGGCAGCACACAGATTAATAGTGATTGATTAATTTAAGAGCTAGTTGGAAACAACCCTAAGATACTGACCAAGCTTTCTTAATTAATAGGAAGTCCCTGTGTGGTTATTTAAGAGTTGGAAAGTGGGACAGAGAAAGAACAACTAATGTGGGATGTTCTTCTATATGTGTTGCTTTTATTGGTTGATAAATAAAGCTGTTTTGGCCAATGGCCAGGCAGAATATAGCCAGGTGGGTATTTCAGACAAAGACATGGAGAGAAAGAAGGCAGAATCATGAAGATGCCACATGGTCAATAGGGAAGCAAGATGTGAGATAACAAGCCACAAGCCTTATGGTAAAATATAAAATAATAGAAATGGGTTAATTTAATTGTGAGAGCTAGTCAGTAATTATTGGTGAAACAATTATAATTACTGTTAAGCCTTAAGTGGTTATTTGGGAACTGGCAGGTGGGATGAGAAACCCTCTAACTATAATCGACTACTGTCAGTGAAGGAATTCAAAGGACAGAGACAAAGCAGTAGTAGAAGGATGGAGTGAGTATGCCTGAGAGAATGTTTAGGCATAGAATGGATAAATTTTCATATGTCGATACATAACCAGGGATTCAGAAGGTGAGGGTGTTACTGAGATATAAGAATGATGGCAATATACTGACTGAGATGTAGAAAGCAGGAGGAGAGAGAAATTATCAGTAAGGTAAGGTGACTAGAAATACTCAGGGTAACAAAATGGAGATGTCCAGTAGACAGGTAAGTGTAGAACTGGGTAATGGCCTCCATTGTGTTGTTATACAATTATAATGATTTGTTGTTGACTGAAGACACATGTACAGAGGACACTGCTGAGAAAGCAAGTATGGGGTGAGAAGAGGGACAATAAGGAATGAATAGAATGTGCTGGAGATTTACATGTGGTTACAAGAACTGGAATGATGGGGGAAGTACTTCTGTGTATATGTTTGTCTTATAGGTTGATAAATAAAGCACTGATGGCCAATAGGGAAGCAAGATAGGTGGGACTAGGAGAGGTGGAGGATTCTGGGAAACAGAGGCACAGTCAGTCACCATGTGGGACTCGAGAGGAGTAAGAGGTCTGGACCCTTTCTCCAGTAAGAGAAGACCACGTGGAAATACTCAGATTAGCAGTTATGGGTTAATAATAAAATCAGAGCTAGCCAACAGGAAGCCATAGAAAACGGCCAACAGTCTCATAATTAATATAGTATCCTGCATGTTCATTTGGGACTGACAAGGTCTGGGACCAGGCTGGTGGGAAGAATCTAGTTATACTGGAATATATAAGATATCCCTTATATTTGGAATTGGGTCAGCATAGGTCCCCTATCTGCCCAGCTCTGCCATGTTTACAGCCTGGGTTCTGACTTTCAGTGCTGTATGATATGACTACAGGCACTTCACCACAGAGAAAGTGAAGACGAAACTGTCACCAAAAGAAAACAGTAATGATTATGAATTTCCCTGAGTTACAAACTTGATAGCAGTTCTGTTATATATGGTGAAGATGAAACAGATGGAACTCCTATTGGATGTTTAAAAATTTTTTTCTTAAGAAAAAGCAACATGACTATTAGTAGAAAATAATGGAACCCCAGAAACAGTCCACAAATATACTTTAACTCATAGGTGTGAGGGCTTACGGCAAGGATAAGTTATTGGTGTCTGTGGATATATTCTTGTGGACTTCCTTTTTAAAAACTTAGGTATTCCCCAATGAAGAGAGACCACACTGAGAAACTCATTCTTCAATCCATTTTTCAGCTGCAATCATTTGTTTTCCTTTTGCTGCTTAGGACTTATCAATATTAATATATATCAATGATATTAGAAAAAGTAATTATAGATGTAAGCAGAAAAATCTGTGGAAGTGAGCCATTCCAAAAAGGAGACGATTGGGTGCCATGACTTATTTCCAGAGCTGGTGGTTTGGATAAGAAGAATGGGTGGTGTGGGAGTATGGTATTTGTATTGGTCAAGTCCAAAGAAAAGTCTAGATATAAGCAGTTGCCAGTATTTGTTATAAATTTACTTCTAAACTCTGCTTTGGCAGGCAGAACTACTTTGGTACTATCTCTCATCAGTAAATATAAATAAATATTCCCAGAACTAAAGTCTGACCGGGCTTTTCAGTAATTTCTGACATAACCCACATATTTTCTTCTTGGTAAGTTCAATAATGCGAAAGGACAAACTTCCTTCTATAAGAAACAGAATTATGACGAAGACATGGTATTTTAAAGGGAATGCAGAGCAGAAAATGAAGAGGGACTAGTTCCTGTTGAGGAAAGGGAAAATTGCATAACTTTTGTTTTAATGTCACCAAGATTCAATAGGATATTTGTTTATAAATAAAGTTGTTAATGGAAAGAAGAGGGTCTTAGCTCAGAAAAAAATAGATAAGGTCGAAAACTATTATTTTAGTTTCTAAATTACATTAAAATGTTATTATATGTATGGTGTATGGGTGGAGAAGGTCATGCACATGTTGAGAACAGAGAAAACTGTGGAGTCAATTTCCTTCTTTTTATAGGTGAGTTCTAGGGGATTGAATTCAGGTCTTCAGGCTTTATAGCAAACCTCCAGCTTTTCTCTCTATCCCTTAGACATACTTCAGTTGTATCGGTACCTCTAAGCACTCTACCAAAATTTCTCTAATCAAGATCCCCAGAACCACTGGGCAGTGGTGGCACACATCTTTAATTCCAGCACTCGGGAGGCAGAGGCAGTTCGATCTCTGTGAGTTCAAGGCCAGCCTGGTCTACAGAGTTCTAGGACAGGCTCCAAAGCTACAAAAAGAACACCCTCCCCGCCCAAAAAGAGATGCCCAGAAACTCAAATGTTATAAAATTCAAGTCAGTCCATTTCAATTGACTAATCAGAAGTCTCAGACTCAGTTGATCATTCTCTCCTGTTTGACACTTTCTTGCTTAGCTTCTAGGACTACCTATTGTCTGCATTTCTCTTCCATACACAAGGTTTTCCCTGGACACTACCTCCTATCTCAGAGTCTTCTGTTTTGGTTTCTATTCTTTTTTGATCTATCACTGTAAGGATTCTTGGAGATTTGGTCCTGTGTCCTTTTCTGTCTATAATGCACACTCATTTCCTTATAAATAACTTCCAGAGATATGCTTTAAACCATGATCTATGTTTCCTTTTCTCTCTCTCTTTCTGCTTTTTTTCTAGATAGGGTTACTCTGTGGTTTTGGAGGCTGTCCTGGAACTATCTTTTGTAGACCAGGCTGGTCTCGAACTCACAGAGATCTGCCTACCTCTGCCTCGCAAGTGCTGGGATTAAAGGCGTGTGCCACCACTGGCCAGCCTGATCTATGTTTTCAAAACTCCCAAATGGATCTTAAGATCTTTTCTGAACTCCATACTAATAATCAGCAGCCTATTCAGTAGCTCAGCATCAACATTTAAAAGACACTTCCAATGCAGTTTATCTAGACAGAGTGGCAGCTCCGTCCTGTCTTTCCTTCTCAGCAGACACTAATTCTGTTAGGCTAGTTGCACTGGCCCAAGATCATGGCATTTCAACAGTTGTCAAGACTTGTGAAATCATTACTACAATTAGAGTATAGAAAACATCATCCCTAGATGGATTCTCATGGTACATCCAGTTTCCCATACAGCTTCTACTTTACTGTATTTGTTTTTTTCTCTCCAATAAACTTTGCTTTCATATAGCATTTCCTATTTTATGCCTTGTTTTGCTTTCTTTCTATCTTTTCTTCCTTCCTTCCTTTCTTTTCTTTTTTCTTTTTGAGGCAGGGTTTCTCTGTATAACAGTTCTCTCTGTCCTGGAACTCACTTTGTAGACCAGGCTGGCCTCTAACTCACTGAGATGCACCTGCCTCCATTTCCCAAGTATCTGGATTAAAGATGTGTACCATATCTCCTGACCTATGTCTGTTTTTTCATTTAGCATGATTTATTGATTCATTCAAGTAGAATGAAGGTGAAATTGACTTTAGCTTTACTTTCTACAACTTAAATCCACATCTGTTACTATGAAGAATAAGAATTGGGCCAATGTCCTTTGGCCTTCTGTAAGGGGTGGTTCAGAATAGATACATCTCAAGACAATAACTATGACCTACAGTGGTTTTCAGTTGGTTTGGGACCACTTTAGAAAGACAAAGTTAAAGGTTGTTTACAACTGAAAACCCCATGCCTGGGAAGCAGAAATTACCAGAATATGGTCACAGCATTAAGACAAAGTTCCTTGGTTGTAGGGTAGTGGTAAGAATGCAATTAAAATATTTCAAGGCTATATTAAACCAAGGAAATTTTAAAAGTGCTCATTCAGAGATTGAATAAGGCAAGTACTCTTCAGAGACAGGAGGGCAATGATAATTAATGTCCTGTTTACCAATGTAGTTCCTGTAATCCAGATTTGATGAGATTTATTATAACATAATATAAAGGATCTATCTTAAACAATTTAAAAAACCTGTTGGTATTCTTGTCTTCTCAATCCAATTTGAAGTTTGTTTGTTCATAGGACACTTCAAGGATTCCACTTTGAAACAACTTTCATACATGTCGATTCCTTTGGACTGAACTTCTTCTTGGATTGGATTTTTACAAGTTTCTAAAATATATGTCTGTTGGTCTTTGTTAAGACCCTGAATCATACGTCGGGAGCTGAAAAAATTGAGTATTGTAATCTCAATGTCAACTACTTACAGAAGAGTAATGCAGTTTTTCTATTTGCATTTTATATCTTAGTATATGTAATCTTTGAGCTCTCACCAGCTTGTGATATAGGCAGGATAGGTAGTACAAGTACCATTTAAAAAGGAGGATAATAAAGATTAAGCAAATTTCTTATGATCATATAAATAATAAGAAGCAAGAAGCAGCATTAAATCTAATAGTCCTATCTTTTAATTCCAGTGCTTTCCCTCATATGTATATATACATATATATATATATGTGTGTGTGTGTGTGTATGAGGAAAATATAATGAAGAAATATATGAGGAAAAAATAAAATAATACATATATTATTCGAGACAGGGTTTCTCTGTGTAGCCCTGGCTGTCCTGGAACTCGCTCTGTAGACTAGGCTGGCCTAGAACTCATAGAGATCCGCCTGCCTCTGCTTCCTGAGTGCTGGGATTAAAGGTGTGCACCACCCATTTCTATAGTCCACTCTTATTATATTTTTAAAGATTTATTCTTATTCATATATATGTGTTTGTGACTGTATGAATTTATGTGCACTGCACGTCAGCTGTACAGATCTTCTGGAAGAACAGTAAATGCTTTTAAACACTGAGACCTTTCTTCAGCCCCATATTGTCCTTCCTTCCTTCCTTCCTTCCTTCCTTCCTTCCTTCCTTCCTTCCTTCCTTCCTTCCTTTCTCCCTTCCTCCCTTCTTTCCTCCTCCCCTCCCACCCCCTCTTCCCTTCCTTTCTTTCTCTCTTTCTCTCACTCTCTCTTTTTTCTTTTTCTTTTTTTAGAGACAGGGTTTGTTTCTCTGTATAACAGCCCAGACTGTCCTGGAACTCATTTTTTAGGCCAGGCTGTCCTTGAACTTACAGAGATCCACCTGCCTCTGCCTCCTGAGTGCTGAGGCTAAAGGTGTGCACCTCTACTGCCCAGCAAGCCCAATATTTTCTTATCTTGATTTTTATGATTTGATTTCTTTTTGTAGTATATCTTATCTTAAATGCTTAATTCTAGGTCCAAGTAGTTATGTCCAAAGATGCCTGCCATACCATCACTTATGTAACCAATTCTCTAGACTTTTGGAGTCAGAGAGTATACATTCAAACAGAACCCTTTTTGTTGCTGTTGAATAGAAATCAGGTTCTTGAGAAAAGAAGCCAAAGAAGGAGGGAAAAGGCACACCATTGCCTCTTGTAGTGAAATTATATAGTTGTGTAAATTTATCTGTGATTACCCAAGTCACTGTCCAGACAGTGGTTGGTTATTCCTATGGACAGGAAGATTAGCCAAAGGTAATATACATACAATAGTTACCAGTCCACACAAAGATTTCAAGCTGGGCAATGTAATCTTTGACTTCTCTTTCTGTGCCCTTTCCAGGCTTTAGACATGAGTTTTATCTCAGTGTGACCAATGGTCCATAAACTATGAGAGACATTAGTAGAACACATGATTGTTGTGCATTCATCCTACAGTGATAATGAACTTGCCAGAAAGTTTTATTTTAAAAATGAGTAATCACAGATAATTCAATGATAAACATACAGAAATAAACACTTAGCTAAGACTTTAATGAATCCATCGAGGACAATTTAGGTATATTGAACTTGTCTCAGAACCCTTCAAAACTGCATCTGAGGGTGCTCTTACATCTTAGTGATCTAAACAGGTAAGACCTAAAGATAAACTTGATCAACAATTTTTTTCAAAGAGTAGCCTTATCTGTTGCTTTAATACAAAATCAAAACATTCTAAGACAGAAGAAAAAGAGTAATATAGTTAGGAGAAATCAAGACGAGTTCACCTACCTTGAGTGTGTTTTTTGCGGATAAAATGTATGTCCAGGAATTTTCACTAAAACGGAGAATATACCATAAAATGTCTGGTTACATTTTAAGGCCAACAAAAGTTAATTTTTTATTTCCTTGGCAATTACTTGATGTACACTTAATGTGCACATTAAATATAATCTAGCTCATCTTTAGTTAAATAATGTTTTGTTCACACACATGAACTATATGAGTACATATTCCTCTTGTGAGTCTTTTAATAAGACTTGTCCAAGAGGAGAATATATTAGCTACCAACTGGTAAGTAATCTATGGGCTAGGAGTGCGGCACAGTGGTAGAGGAGTTGCCTAGCATGTGAGAGGCTCTGAGTACAACAAAAGGAAGGCTAAAAACCAAGTAGAAGAAGCAAGGAAAAAGGAAGCAAGCAAAACTTACTCAAGAAGTCAACTCCCTTTTTAGTGATACCTTCACAAGGGAAGTAGACGCGGGTATGAGGAGTTAAAGCCTGGCTTGGGTTCCAGGTAAGTCTAGGTTATACAGCAAGACCTCAAGAAAGGAAAAAAGAAAAAGAGAAGAAGGAAGAAGTGGAGGAGGAGAAAGAAGAAAGGAGGAGGGAGGAGGAGGAGGAACCACCATCACCAAAAATCAAAGTAAAACAACCTCCCCAACTTGCGAAGGATGTTTACATACACACTAATGTGACCAACATTTTAGAGAGTTGATCTAGGATACAGATATATTAGGTCAAAGTAAAGTGTAATTTATGATAAATTACTATGCACATATTTTAATATAAAAATCGGAGCCTAAGGTACATATTATTATATATTATTTTTCTTTACCATTATAGAATCTTATTATTTAAGTTAAATAATAAAAGAACTATTTAACAGTGGCAATCATAATTAACAGCAGAACAAGTTAACCTGTGTATAGTGATAAAGTGTACTTTCATAATATTTCTTCCCTCTGATACAGAATTTAACTCTTTTTATAGGTATGGTCTTACATAGTTCAGGCTAGCCTCAAATTCTTCATAAAAGAGACCAACATACCCCTTATACGATATGCAAGTGAGTTCACCATCTACTATTTTGACTGAACATTGTTATTTTGGAGGAAGGTGAAAATATTTTCAGTTGTTTAGTTCTTATTTGTCTAATCACAGATTCATGAGACTTAGTCTACTTTTACCTCTTTTCCTTTAGGATGTCTCTGTCAACTTAACAGGCAAATGAAGGCATGTCAAATGTGAGAACAAATAAGTTATTCAATTCAAAGTGAGGATGATTACCTGGGACATAGTCTAGTAGCCTAGAGTAAGTGTTCTGAGGCTTATACAATTATGGCTACATTTATAGTTTTAAGCTACATGAGGCTTAGTTAAACTGTTCTGGCTAGGTTAAACTGTCTTGTAAAAAGTATATTGGATATGTATCATTCTCTGGGTAGTTTGGGGGGAGGGGTCTATTGTGCAAAAGCTTAGCAGAACTTAATAAACAATGTTTTAGGAATCTGAAGTATGCCAAGTCAGCTTCATCTAGGGGGTACTTGTGTTTGAACAGAGTTCAAAGATTTAACTGTGGAGGTATGTGTTAGTAGATCTGCCTTCTTAGTCCATTTTAAGTGTCCAAACCAATTCTACTTTAGTTTATCTTCCTTGACAATCTCAAATTAGTTTCCACATGTTGTGCCATGTCCCCTCTCTCGTGTGTGTGTGTGTGTGTGTGTGTGTGTGTGTGCCTGTATAAGTCAGAGGTTGACACCCTGTGTCTTCCTTGATTGTTCTATTTTTATATAGAGAGACAAGGTCTCTCACCTGAACCAAGACCTTCTGATTCATCTACTCAAGTCAGCCAGTTTACTCTGAGGATCCCACATCTGCCCTCAGAGCACTGGGGTTATCAGCAGTCCACCTAGGCTCTATTCCTAATGAGTTAGATACGCCCTTTAATTGTCAGTAAAACAATATAGTCATTTAGCATTCTCTCTCAAGGGATGCATAGGTCAAGCTGGCCTTGGGATACTATTCTCTTTTCAATGAACTTGACTGAAAACTGCTTCACAATAGTTGCTTCATTGCTGAAGCTCTTTAGCATCAGAATGAACTGTATTGCAATTTAATAAACTACTTGGACCAAGCGTAGTCAAAAATTGTATGAGCCCGATAAATTAGCCCTAATGAGTTAGGGCTAAGACAGAATACTCTCAAAGTTTTTATATGCCCCTAGATTTGATGAGACGTAAACGCAACTATTAGAAAATGAGGTAAAATATTCTGTTCTCTTTTTGGTAGTATAAAACTATTAGAAACTGATTCATGTCCATAATCAGTCATAAATAGGGAGGGCCTCATTGAATCCTACCCCTCCCTGTTGAACTATTGGTTACTGATAGCTTCTGGGAGAAGGGGAGTCATTGTCTTCAGTTGTGGACCCACTGTCAATCCAACCAAGCTCCAACAGATAGTTGTAAATCTATGGTCACAAAGTCAGTTCCAGTTAAACTTAGAGAGTCACAAAACCAAACAAGACATGGATGTAAGAAAGGGATTTGTATAGAGGAGGGAGAACCAACGGGGCTCAGAGGGAGAAAAGAGAGTAGGTGCTGAGAGTAATTGTGTGTGTGTGTGTGTAATTATCAAAGAAAGGTAATACAAAATTAAAAACAAATTTATGTATAACCAATTTCTGTTGGCCTTTTCTATGCATTTCTAGAGCCAGAAAGAAGCAAAAAAATTAAGCTCCTAAATTTCAGGTAAGGTAAACTGCTTGGTTGACAATCTGATTTTAAGATAATTTTTATTCTTTATATGTAGGCCTTGATCAGACAAAGGCTATTATTGTGCACATATTCAGATTACAGGTGATCACAGACTCTGAGCCCTCCATACTCACCCAAGCCTTGATTAGGCGATGGTCTTCTGAAACAATGAGCCACGAACACATCTGGTACAGTCGGCCTTGGATCTACAGAAGATGGTAAAGGATCATAGCAAGTGGAAATGAGTGACTATTTACAGTGTCTCCTTTCAAGACGAAAGTTCCAATAATGTGTGAACAGCAGTTTAACTCAAGGAAATTAACATGTCATATATTCAATTATAAATTTTTTTGTTGTATTTCAAGTATTTATACCTCTGGGAACAACAATTCCTTCTCTAGGAATTTTTCAGAAAGAAATAATTGTATACACAAATGGAGAGACTTTATGTTGTTTACAATAGAGGAAAGTTAGAAACAAAATAAAAGTTGAACAATGGGCCTAGCTATAAAAATTAAGATTTATAGAATAAAATATTTTGCTGCCATTTTTCACATGTATAAATATTTATAAAATACTCTAATTTTAAATGAAAAACATGAAAAATAACAAGATTATGCCATTTATTAGGATGTGGTGTCTGTGTAAAGACTTAAGAAAAGGTAAAAGTATTCTAAAATATTATTTTTACTTTCTTTTATCTTTTAAAGAATCTTTGTGTGTGTGTGTGTGTGTGTGTTTGTGTCTGCATGCACATATATGTGGGCATGTGCATGCCATAACACATGTGCAGAGGTCAGGGGACTACCTCAAGGTTTCTTGTTTGTTTCTGCATGTGCCATGTGCCAAGATAGCTTACGTACAAGCTTATGGAGAGTCTCCTGGATTCTTCTCCTATCTTACTCTGAGTATATTGTAATTACAGATGTATGTTCTTGTGTCTGATTTACATGGCTTCTGAGGATCCAAACTTAGGAACTCATGCTTGTGCAGCAAACGTGTTTCTCAGTGGAGCTGTCTTCCTAGCCCCTTTTCTGTTTATCTTTATTTCTGATGTCTGCCATTTTAAATTAATGTTACATATAAAGAATCACTGAATTCCTTGGTGATCACTGTCAGAAAGAATGGCTTGTTTAAAGTTCTAGTGAAATGAATCTTCTCTAACCTCCCCTGTTCTTGCTATGGCTGTTAGCTTTCAGGGTTTGTTTCCTATTTCATAGACTGAATGAGTTTATGCACACATGTATGCATATATTTTAACTAGGATACCTTAACTTCTTTTGGGGGAATAATGGTGGTATAAATATATAATAAATCAGCACACATATACAAAAACTTAAATAATTATTTTTGGTAAATTATCGTGATTGATACATTACATAAAGAACTTATCTATATACTTACATACTTATTATTCATCTTATGTTTTCCTTAAGGGGGATTTAAGGATAGGGTGATAGAAATTAGCTATCAGCAATGCTAGGTAGTTAAGGACATGTGTCAGACAGCACTTTGCAGCAGAAGGAAATGAATTTTCCAGATTTAATTTCTTTTCTGGGATCATACTCTGTTAAGTTATGAAATGACAGGAGTACACCGTTTAAAAAGCATTAGATCCCGATACTGTCTTTGCAGGCAAGCTTCTGTAACCCTATGAGTGTGCCTCAACCGCGTGGGCCCCTGCTGCCCCGGGCCGCTGACTACCCGTGTCACTGTCCCCTGGAGCACAGCTCACACTGTGGGCATTGTACCTGAAACACAGTGCCTGCTTTTCTTCCTGGTTAAGATGAGCTCCCGAAAGGAAGAACTGGTACCATGTGTTTTTTTAGATGTACTTGTTTATTTATTATTATTGTGTCGTGTGTGCGTACGTGAAGTGTGTGTATGGGGGAGTACATGCCGCCGGGAGTGTGTGGAGGTCAGAGGACAGCTTTGTGGAATCGGTTTCAGTTTCCATTTTCACATGGGTCATAGGGACCACACTCCAGTTGCCAGGTATGTGTGGCACCTCTGCCTGCTTGTAAGTCATTATGCACATCTTAGACTCTTCGGCACCAGGCACAGGGGCAACCTCAAAGTTATGGCATAAAATGAGTATTTTTGAATAAATTAACTGTTTGTGAGAAGGTAAAATGGAAGTTTACCTTTCACATTACAATTGGATTCTTCATGTCTTTGGAGTAAATGTTCTTTACCATAAACCTGATGGAACAGAGAATGGGAAAGAAAACATGATATGTTGTAAACATGAAACTGGGATATGCTTCTTATATGATTATGATATGGTAGGTTTTCAACAAACATTTCTTGTTTTTATCCTATGTCTCTTGCAGGAAAAATCAGTATTTTTGTTCATTACTAAAGAGAGTTTTTCCCACACAGAATTCATGTATCTCATCCAAAATTGTTAAATTAGAATTATTTAAATTAGAAGTTGAGAGTATGAAACAGATGAAAATAGGCACAGGGGCTGGAGAGATGGCTCAGAGGTTAAGAGCCCTGTCTGCTCTTCCTGAGGTCATGAGTTCAATTCTCAGCAACCACATGGTGGCTCACAACCATCTAAAAATGAGATTTGGCGCCCTCTTCAGGCATGCAGGCAAACATGCAGTAGAACACTGTATATGTAACAAATAAAATCTTTAAAAAAAGAAAATAGGCACAGCTGTGTGAAAAATCTACCAACAAGTTTCAGAACTACGCCTATATACAAAGGTAAACAATATTTCCTTGAACTTTGTCAAGAGCTCTAAAACAAAGGATGCTGCGAGTGTATCACTTTCTCTTGTGAGGGGAAATACAAATCTGACTTACTAAAAGAGATGCAGACTGAACTTGACTGTGAACCCTGAATAATCTGCAAATCACGTAACTGAAAACATTTTAAACATTTTCAAGCTTTTGTTTCTTTACCTAACATTAGAAAAGATTATCTGAAAGGGCCTGGGGAAGGAAAAATAAATGAAAAGTTTTTTGCCAGCATGTAGCATGTATAATTCAGTAACACAAGACTATGAGATAGAGTTAATGCCAGCATCTAAGATTCTAGAGCTCTGAGTCCAGCCTGGACAACAAAGTGAACCTCTCAATAAAGCAAATAAAATCATTTAAAACACACAATAGAGCACAAAAACAAAACTAGAAGTAGTTAAAACACAAAAACCCACTTCTCGGTATATATAGTTGACAAGAGATATTGACATTATCTATGGAAAAGAAGGAAAGTTAAAAATCAAAACTGGTTATGGGACTGAAGGAGCGTCTCAGCGGTTAAGAGCGCTTGTGGGTTTCTCTGACTACACGCAGCTGTTAATCTCCCACTAATTTTTGGCTGATTGCTCTAATGTCTTCAACCTTGCCCAGGATCATAATTTGCTCTTCAGGTGAATTTTTAAAATCTCCTTTGAATGGGCAGGTCTGGAAGTTGTGTTTGAGGTCTGTTCTGAGTTCTGGAGGGCTCCTCCCAGCTGTCTCCTCAGTTCTTTCCTGCAAAGTACCAGGATAGATACAGTTTAGCATGTGTTTCTCTTCAACCTACCAATGTCTGCTTAGCTACTGATTACCTCATTTGCACGGGTTTTAAGAGTTTCTTAAGCTTTAGCTTTCTGCATCTATTGCAAATGAAATCAATTCTTTGGAAGGAGACTAGGATATTATCTGTTGTGTGGCCTGGGTCTCTCTCTCTCAAGGTAAAAATCCCAAGCCTTAGTTCTGGATCTGGGACCGGAGACAATGACACTCTTCTGATTGGAACCCAGCAATAGCAGCCTCGAGTCTTCACTACGTGCCTCTCCAGGAACCGAACCCATACTTTACAAGCCAAGGCAAGAATGATCAGAGACTGGTGATCATTCAGTGATGCAATACCCAAGACAAAACCTCTAGCCAAATACTGGGGTTGGAGTAGGATTCTTTGTCCTTTTCTCTGTACTCACCACAAGCTTAGCCTCAGAAACAGGTATGTCACTGGAGGCAAGATTACCAAGGCCTTGTTCCTCCTGGGAAGATATCTGGTAGCTATGGGGAGAGGTGTCACCTATTTTCTTGGCTGAGTTATTCTGCAGTAGCATTTCTGCCTTACAGAGTTAGGGGTGGAACATAGGCAGTTTGGACTCTCAGGCTTCGCTATTTCCCATGAATTTGAAGATTTCTGAATAGAATATTTTTTCTTTTCCTATGTAATTTTAGAGTTTTAATGGTTGTTCTTCTTTCTTTGTTAAGTAGTGTTTGCCGGCTTGCTAGTGAAGAGATTTCCTGAGGTCTTGGCTGTCATGTAGACACCCATCTCTCAGCACCATTTATTTTCATTCCTTCATGTTCTCTAGGTTTCCTTATTTTTAAATTTTTTTAAATATCATGGATTCATTCTATAAGCTTTCTCAAATAAAATAAATACAAATGAAATTCAAACATGACATCTTAGTAAGACCTGTCTCTCACCTGTCAAGGATCTTTTGAGTTTTTGCAAACAGCAAATAATATGACCAAAGTTCTATTCATTTTTTTCTGAGGAAAAATGAGAATACATATCTTGCTATTCTCTTGTATTCATATTTAAAGCATTTTAAATCATTGCAGCAATCATGATTTACCTCTCTTGTGCTATTCTTGTATTCATATTTAGAGCATTTTAAATCATTGCAGCAATCATAATTTACCTCTCTTGTGCTATTCTTGTATTCAGATTTAGAGCATTTTAAATCATTGCAGCAATCATAATTTACCTCTCTTGTGCTATTCTGGCGCTTTGCTAGGGTGGCATTTCTTTCCCTCTTTGTTCTCAGATACTTTTTCTTGTTTTTTGCCTGGGTGAGAGAGTATTTTAGATTAGTACTTAATGAATAGTAAAGATAGTCACTTTGAGTGTCTAAGTACAGGCATTTTGAGACTCACTTCCTAGAAGATGGAGTAGTGACCCATTTCCTCCCACTCCAACTGTGCGTCCTGGGCGCATGCAAGGCAAACACAGGATTCTGTGAAAAAGTAATCTTTCGAAATGCTTCCTAATCCCCAGGAGAGAAGATTACTCCATATCTGCACAGTAAAAATTTGTGGTTCTTGCCTTGCATGTCCAAAGCCTGGATTTGGTCCCTAGCACACATGCAAGCAAACGCAGAATTGTTTTGTTTCTATGACTGTTATATACTCCACATTCATAATGGAGGACTGATAAACATGCCTGGATGAAACTCCAGGTGTTTTGGAAAGAAGACAAATATTTGTAACTCTAGCATCTGGGCAGGAAGTTAATAATTGTGACATACAGCTGAATTGTGGATGCTAAACTGCTGCTTCCAAATGTTTTGTCCTCTATAATAGGATTACACATCCCTAGTCTTTGCTGTGGAACTCTCTAGAACCTTTCATAGTGGAATATACCTCTCCATTCTGTTGAATGTTGAGTTTCACTGGCTATACGACTTACCATGGCTAGTGAATTGTTAGTCAATATGGTATGTGATGTGGTTTTAATAAGACATATGGTTGCTGGAGGAAATTTGACTGTTAATGAGCTGATAATTGCATTAGGGGTTTTCATCATTGAATTTTTACACAGGGTTATCTCTGGTTGAAGGGAATAAAGAATATGTAACATGTAACTGAAATAAATCTGAAATCTGAAAACAACACTATCAAGGTCAAGCAGAGTCAATTTTCAGACCCAAGAAAAAGAAAACACGAGGCTTACTGTAAACTACTAAGGTTCTGAAGCTGCCACACAGTGAAAAGGAGCTTACTCCCTCACTTAAGTATCATCTCTGTCTTTAGTAAGCCCATGCAAACTGTGATCTCCATATAGACTCCCTAATTGTTTCTTTAGGCATCAATCCTCATCTATTAAATCATATGTTTTACTTATTTTGTTGTATCACTCTCACAACTAGTACATAAGAAAACAAAGGGAATTTTTTTTTACTTACTTTTTTCATTGTTCTGTTCCTGGCACCCATGCAGTGCCTGGTACATACTTTGAGCACAGTATTAACAATACATGTGTAATTAAATAAATGAGTATTGTGTTAATAACAAGGTAATGTTATTACTGTGTGACATTAACAAGTGTGGGATATGAGAATTAATTTCACTCCTGGGATCTTAATATTATTATCTATGAGGTAAGTGGGTTGGAATAAAAATTCTGTTTTAAAGATATGCACATAACCAGAAAAGCAATTATTACTACACAATAATGGTAAATGCACAAACCTTTTTCCTGGTTGTTAGTAACAACAATAATTAGCGTACCTGTTTAACATATCTATACTGAAGCAAACCTTTTTAACCTTACCTGAGAGGTCAACTTGAGAAGGTAAGTCTGAGTGTCATTGGACTCTGAACTGTCAGAGCCTCGACTACTAAAAAAAGAAATTACAGTTTTCAGAATTTAAAATGTCAACATTGCCTTTACTTTATCATCTTATTTGAATGGACAATTTTAATTAGAAAGATAATGATATTTATTAAAGTTATTTATCATTTGATGGTTTCATACAACTTAGAAACGGTATTGTTATTTTCTGAATGATAGAAGCTATAAATGTTTGGGAATATGTTGCTGGGATGTAGCCCCACAAACGTATGACTTAGTCTTTCTTTCTGGTTCATTTCCTATGCCATTAGGGTGAAAATATCAGGTGGTACACAGTGAGGGTCCATATGCTTTGTTAATAAGTAAACAAATAAGCTAAATATATATGTGGAGTTCCCTAACTCTTATTATCATTAGTTCTTAAAATTAATTTTCATATCACTATATTTATATTTTGTTTAAAGCCATTAAGGGCCACCCAAAGGTACCTCAAAAAACAAAAGTTCAAACAAAAATCTATTTGTAATTATAATCACTTAATACAGTGATAGGTAAAATTTATTTGCTTGAGCAACAACTCATGAAAGGTAATATTTCTGTGTTATATTTCTTATATATTCTTGTTAATTAAGAGATGTTTTACTTTTAAGAGCAGTTTTTGGTTTACAAAAATGCACAACAGTTCTCTCCTGCACATTTTTTTCTGCTATTAGCTTCTTATGCTACATGGTAATTTGTTACAATTGACAACAAATTTATTGTTTACTAGCTGACTCAACATATATTCTGTAGGCTTTGACAAATTTATAATGACATGTATCTTTCACCACTACAGCATCAAACAGTTTCATTGTCTCAAAAATTCTGTTTGACTATCCATGAATTCTATTTTCAGGTCTGCAACCACTGACCCTTTCTCCCCCTAGTTTTGTTTTATCCATTATGTCATGTAGTTGAGATCACAGCCTTTTCAGACTTCTTTCATTTACTAATACTCTTACTAACATGGAAGCAGGCACTTTAGGGGCAAACTCCTATACTGATTTACCACTAAAGTGTATTTTCCTTTATTTAAACTAAAGCTTTATGAACAAAGCTAGGTATGCCTTGAGGCATCTCTGCCCACCATCTTTGTGATGAAGGTAAGCATGTGTGTCATCTTTAGGATGTAAACTGAGCGTGTCTCAAAGTGTACCTTTTCAAGTCTGCTATATGACCCTGGGCCATGAATGCACCAATGTGTCTGTCATCTTTCTTTCATGAAGCATGACTTAGAAGTGAGCATGTTCAAGAATCTACTCCTTAACTGAGCATGCTCAGGAAAGTGTCCACCCCTACAGTGCTTCCTTATATTAATATTTACAGGCTTTCTGTAAAATCACCACACTGTCTTTGAGGAAGGCATTGCTTTTTGCTCCCCTTCCCTGTTATAGGTAATGAATCTTTCTCAGTTATTATTTCTTGGCCATGTTTATTTTGGTTTTGTACTCATCAAGACGAAACCCATTATATGTGGTTGTAATATGGACTTAGGTTTCTGTTCTGTCATTGTTTCATGGCTTGGTAACTCAATTATTTTTATCATTGATTAATAGTTCATTATTTGGGTATAGTTTTTTTAAATCATTCATCTGTCATAGGATACCTGGTTGCTTCCAGTTTATAAATAAAACTGTTTAAAAACTATGTGTACTCATTTTCAATTTATTTGAACCCAAGAAACAAAGATGATCTGGGGTAATAGTAGTTTCATGACTCCTACGATGGGTCATACGACAATGGCTGATCTGTCTAAGGGTAGAGAATCTGTAGGGGCAATTCTAATGTGGCTACATTTTCTTCATGGTTAAGATAGTATAACTCCTTGTTGTAGTGAAAGTTACATGACTGATAAGATATGAAGTCAAGGCTGAGACATCTGAGAGTGAAGCAATCCCAGTGGCCATTTTCTTAATGGTATGGAGTGACATGTCATCTTGATGAATGGTATCTATGACAAGTATGAGGATACCCCCAAATGGCTAATGGACTAGAGATTAAAATTGCAGCCTTTCAAAGTAGCATGTGGTAGAGAGTAGGTGGTGTAATTGGGGGTGGCGGGAGAAAGAGTAGGTGGTGAACCACTTATACATGGTACCCAGGCAGACCCAAAGCCTAAATTCCAGGCGGGTGAAGGAGTGCTGTGCTTTCCCGGACCACTTCTCTATGAAGCCAAGTGTGTAAAGGGACAAAAGGACAAACAGGGAAATATTTCATACACCACAGTGGTTGAAACAGATATTGGGATGAATGGGTCCCAGAAAGCAGAGCACTTAAATATGTGGACACCAATTTGCAAAAACAGCGAGAACCTTAACGGCCAATCAATCAGGAGCAAGGCAATCAGAGGGCAAGAGGAGAGGGGTTGCTCCTGGTAAGAAGACATCTGGCCTGCAACAGAAAAATGCTGAAGCAACAACATAACGACACAAAAGAACAGGCAGAAAACTCCAGGAAATGGAGATGGTGACAGTACCAGTGAGACGCCTCAGCCTCCTAGGAGGAAGAGGGCCTGAGTGGATCTTATTGTTGAAAATGAAGAAACATGAACAGGGTTGAAGTTAAAAGAGTCCTCAAAGCTGACACCATGGCTCATGGTTGCCTGGGATTTGATCCCCAGGCAAATGATCTCAGGAAATGTGGTGCTCGATGCACCTGGGACATAGGTGCATCAGGGTGATCTATGAGAATTTCAGCATACTATAGTCTCTCAGATTTTCATGATTTCCTTAATACCTGGCGAAGAATTCTGCAACTTTGCTCAGTGCCAGTGATTACGAAGTGGTTCCTCCTGAGTGTCATCGGAAAGCCACGTGAGGGGCGTGCTCTCACTCGTGTTTGGATCTCTGTAAACAGAGTTTGGGTCTTAGTCCTTTTGTACAAATGATGTACTTTGAAGATGTTAGTGCACAACAGAATTGATGCTTGTTTTCTGTTTGACTTTAAACAGAGAAAATAAAGGGAGATCCTTTTTTTCATTTTAAAGTTTCTACCAGTGTATTCAATAATGGACAACAGAGAGACATGCTGTTAGCAGGGGTTCTCAACCTTCCTAATGCTCTTTAATACAGTTCCTCATGTTGTGGTGATCCCCAACCTCTAATTCATTTTCATTGCTACTTCAAAAGTGTAATTTTGCTACTGTTATGAATCATAAATATCTGGTATGTAGGATAGCGGACATACACCCCATAGGGGTTGCGACCCACAGGTTGAGAACCACTGCTGTAGAGTATTACTATTGCCTAGCTGACACAGCTGCTTTTGAATTGCTAGTAGTGTTCCTTTTATAATATGTGTTACTGTTCTATGACAAAATGCTGATTCCTAGTGCCTAAGGTTAGCTTCAGGTCATGTAATTGAACACTCATCGATTTGTACTTCTTTTTGTTAAATGTGACTAAAAAGTCCAACCTCTGTAAGTCATCCATGTTGTTCCTTAGACATTTTATTTTTGCTCAATTGTTGAAGAATGTTGGGTTCATAATTTTTGTATTTCTGTCTAATGTATGTTTTAATATGATAGATACACTGTACTGTGTAGCTACAGTTTTATAGAAAAGTCACTACTGTAGAAGTTGTTTTCAGATATGCAATAAATTTTCCTGTACATTTCAAAAATAAAGAAAGTAGCATGTATAGGACAAGATTGTAAGGAGGCTGTGGCATCAGTTATGTAACCTTTGCTATGGATGATAAGACATGCAACTAAGAAGACTGATTTGTCTGTCCATGAATAACTTGCCCAATTAAGGGAAGAATTGTAAGGAAAAGACACATGGGTGCTATTTTTCATGTTAGTCTATGATTTGCAAGAAAGATAGAAAATAAGAGAGAGAGAATAAGGTGACAAAATAGAAGATACCTCTCAATCTACTTTTAATATAGAAGGAGGACAACCCATTTTTCAGTGCGAAAATGAAGGTCTTAATAATGGCCTGTATAGGAACCATGAAAACTAGCAAAAACTCTGCATCTGAACTGCGACTGTCTGCCAGTCAAATATGATGTACCTGCTCACCTGCTTTCTAAATATTTGTGATCATATATATAGATTATTGATGAGGAATATTTCCTTTTTTTGGTGTGTAATACAGTAGAGACTCACAAATGGTTAGGTTGCTGAGAGTAGGTGACTATTGCTGTGGAATAATGACTCTATATCATTCCCTTTAAGGCTCAGGGAACAACACAGAAGAGAGGATGGAAAGAAGGTAAGAGCCTGAGGAAAAGGTGGAGTGTTGTATAGCTATTTCCTCTAAATGAAAACATTTCTCCTGGAAGGAGACTCAGGCAGCTAAGAAATCCTTCAAGGCCCAGGGAGTTCATAAAACTTACAAAACTCAGGAAAGTCAGAAAGTTACAAGATTCACAAAACCCCTACTTCAGGTTGCATAAAAAGTCAACTTCTCGAAAGGAGGAGACTTTCCTTGATAAAGATATCAGCAAGTTGGCTGGGCGGTGTTGGCACACACCTTTAATACCAGGACTCAGGAGGCAGAGTCAGGTGGATCTCTGAGAGTTCGAAGCCAGCTGATCTATAGCATGAGTTCCAGGACAGCCAGGGCTGTTACATAGAGAAACCCCGTCTTGGGGGAGAGAGAAGATATTAGCAAGCTGGCCTAGGGTCACTGCAAGTGTATCTTTTTTAAGTTGTCACCCATGCTGTGAAGGGCTTTTTGGTGCTGCAGCAGCCTTTGAGTTACTAACACTTCTGGTGATAATTCCAATATGTCCATAGACTCACCAAGTTACATTTAAGTGGAATTACTCCTTTGCTCTGTTATTGGTGCCCTAGCTGGGATGAATAGAATTTTATTCACATCTTCCCAGGTAGAGCCCCATTAAAAGAGAGGTCCTATTTTCTCACATTTTTGCTACCATTTTAGTATTGTCAGTGCTTTGGATTTTTAAGAAGTTCTAAAATGTTTGTTATGGTAGTTCATTGTTTTAATTTGCAATTTCCTAATGACACATATTAAATTTTCATTAGTTTTCTTCCTTTACTAGTTTTAAAATTTATCTTTTTATTGTTCTATTTTTAAAACATGAATCAATAACTATGCATCTTTATATCCTCATTCCATATAAAAGATATTCTATCTGTATAAAGCTTTTCTGTACTTACTATAGACTATCAGCATATATAGATTTTCCTTATTTCTGTATAATAGTCCATAGTCTTAATGTCTGTCATTGTTGATGGGACATTGGAAAACTGCCTATTTTTAATAGCAATTCTAAACTAGGATAAGAGAAGTAAGAACGAGTGTTTTCATGTATAAAGAAATCTTTTATTGTCTAGCACCAAAACACTGCACAAAGTGTGATCATGTGTTGCCTAGAATGGTTCTTGGTTTTTGAGACAGGGTATCAGGATGTAGGGCAGTCTGGTCTGAAATTCATAATCCTCCTGATTTGGTTCCCAAGTCCTGAAATTATAGTTGTGTACTGTCATGCCTAACTAAAACTGCTTTTAAAACATCTGTTTTAACTCTGTTTAAGAAAATGAGACCTTACTTTGCTTTCTTAGCACCAATATGCTTATCACTAAGAATCCTTAGGACATAGAATTGTCTGGTTGGTGTCTTTCTTTTTGGAAATACTCTATATAGTAATATGCTTATTTGTCTTTTAAAAAGAGAAACATGAAAACCACCAGATGCTTTTGCTAGAGAATTGAAAAGTTCAGAGAAAAACTTCCGAATATCTGAGGAACTTAGTATATAGAAGGCATAGCTGTAGTCTGTGCTTAAGAAAGGAAGATCATAGTAAGTAATAGGTGAAAATATGTGAAGAAAAAGAACTCTAACAATAAGAACAGTGAGAAGAGTCAATGGAGAGTATGCAGCACTTGTGATTGACAGAATTTGACAGAAATTGCATAACCATTCACACATGATTCTTAAGCCATGAGAAAGACTCTACTGGATTATCTGAAACCAACTTAACAAAAAATCTTAAGACTATAAAATATTTACATTAGGAAATAGACGTAAAATATGTACTATTACTCATTGACTCACTTTTAGAAGAATCTACACTAGACAAAAAATGGTATTCTCATAAAGCAATTGGAATTCTCATTATAGACTTCCCTCCTGTCCATGTAATAAAATTAAAATAGGATTTTCAAGACAAGGCTGTATTAATTATTATTGAATTGCTGATATTTCTATTTGACACACCAAGTCAGTATTGGGGAATATCTAACTTTCTGACTTTATGTTGTATTCATCTATATAATTTTAGTAATTTCTATAATGCAAAGGAAGCATTTAAGGTCTACAATGAGTCACCTGCAGGCTACTTAATTATATTATATTTTAATATCTCTGTCCTAATACAAGTAAATATCCACTTGTCCTTCTCTCTCTAGAAGATGAGTAACAAGCAAGGGCCAGGGCAAAGACAAAGACAAGTCTTCAAAGTCATGATCCCGGCAACCTAATTGGGTCCTATCTCCTATGGTTCTACCATTTCCCAACAGTCCAAAATTGAATCCATCAATAGATTGAACCAGTGTTACAGCCCTCATGATCTAATCCTCTCTGGGAATGTCCTCTCAACCAAGAGGTGTGCTTTACTAATCTTTTAGATGCCTTTAGAAGCCAATCAATTTAACAATCAGGACTAATCTCACAATAGTCAACCAATATTCAACCAAGAGTACACAATGGGGAAAGGACAGACTTTTCAACAGATGGCTTTAGGAAACTGAAACTATATATCATATTTAAAAGAATGAAATTGGACATTTATAATGTAAACCCAAAAGCTCAAAATAATGTAGCTATTAAAATAGTAATGGAGGTTCCTTAGAAAACAAAAATATAGTAACTACTGGGTAATCTGATAATAACTCTGACTAGTATTCATGGCATACCATGACTGGGTCTCAATCCAAGAATCCAAATCTAGAGCTGGCATGATAATAGCACTAAAATGTTTTATACAACATTTTTCAAAAACAGTTCACAATTCTATTTGTATTAAGTATCTAAAATAGTCTGGTTCATAATATCGGAGAATGGTGGTTATTAGGAGAAGAAGCTAAAGGAATGGAAATTACTAGCTAATAGACATGTAAGTCAGCTAAGGAAGAGGAGTAAATTCTAGAGTTCTACAGTATAATTGTACCAACCATCAACAACAATACACTGTCAACTTAAAATTTCATTGAGGGTAGATCTCTTTTTAAGAGTTCTTAACTCCTGAAACTTAATTGTAAAGAGAAAGTATCCTATCCTGATGATAAAAGGTAATTTGAAAAGCTAATACAATTCAAATCAAATAACATTCTGAAAAAGGTAAAACTAAGTAGACAATGACAGATAGATATGTGGCTGACAGTTGTTAAGGCGGAGGAATGAGCTCATGCAATGAAGATACGCTGTCTTATACTTTGATGGTAGGGCACATGTCGCTATAAATTTGTCCAAATCCACAGCATGTGAAACTATTTTCTAACTGGAGTATCTGTTAATGAGAACTGGACACTGGGTGACAACTGTCTGTTAATTAAATTCATTCACTGAAACATACTTATTATCATCCTGGGATGATGATAACAGGAGAAGGCTCTGGACATATAGGAATGGGAGATATATGGAAAATCTCTCTATTGGCTACTCAGTTTTTCTGTGGACATAAAATGCTCGAAATGAGAAGGAGAGAGAATGCAAAAAACAATTGGTGTTTCTTTCACATATAGTAAACACATGGCACATAGCCGTGTTCATATTTAATAAACCAAATGGAACCTTGATATATTTGACCAAAATAATGCACTTGTGAAAACTCTCCCTAATATTAGTCAGAATTTTCTGTGTGGAGCTGACAGTAATCTAAGTATTATGATAAAAATTCAGTAAAACAATGTACCCACTATTTAAATAACATAACTTACCTAGACTCTACATCCATTGAAATTTCTACTAGAGAAGTATCTGAGATATCAAAGGCTCTTTCCAAGTTCATACGTTTTTCCATTTCTTCTAATTCTTTCAGGCACTGAAAATACTACGGAAAAATAATGAGTTTACTATAAGAATAACATTATTTTATAATTAAACAAATTATATATATATCCATAATAACAGTTATTGGGTGACTACATACACCCAAACCCAGAAAGCCATTTGAACGTTAAAATGGAAAACTTGCTGTAGGACAGCAGACAGGTTATTCATCTGACAGCCTGAATCTGACACTTATCCAAATTGGTTTGACTTACCTTACTCCGGTCAGGATCACAGTAGTCCAATAGAGAATCACAAAAATGATATCCCATTGACTCTAAGTCTTTTGTGCTGAAATGAGTGCCTCGTTTATTGCCTAAAACATCAAAAAATTTATTCACCCTGGAGGATGAGGTACTAATTTTTTCTTCTCAGATAAATCTAAATTGTGAGGCACTATAAACAAGACATAGGTACAACTCCACATTTTGTCCTTTGGATTTCTTCTCTGGAGCAGGTCATTTAACAGTGTAATGCTTTTGCTCATTCCAGTCTCACAACCTGGAGCAAAGCTTATTGGATGTACACTGATGCGTATTGCAAGGCAGAAGAGAAGTCAGTAAGACAGTTACAGTTATGGTCACCAGTTGCTAGCAGTGATAACTACTCAGAAAAATTCCATGAGAAAATGTTTTGTTGTCATCATGAATGATGTCACCTCAGCTTCAGGTCATATAAGAAACTAGGGGATTTCCAGGCATGATGGCATACACAGTTAGTTCAGTTCCAGTGACTCAGAAGCAGAGGTAGGCAGACCTTTGTGAGTTTGAGGCCAGTTTATTCTACATAGTGAGTTCCAGGACAGCCAGGGCTATGTAGAGAGATACGGTCTCAAGCAAAAGCAAAAGCAAAACAAATACTAGGTAGAAATTACATATATGAATTTCCAGCATTTTTCTTTTTCAAAATGGGAAAAGTTCTCTTATGAAGCCCATGCTGGCCTTGAACTCAAGATTTGCCTGCTTTTGTCTCTTGAGTGCTGAGATTACAGGCAGGTACCACCATACAACTTAGATTTGAAACATTTCCTAAGAGTGTTAAAATCACTGTAATACAGAATATTCTCACCTTACTAATACATGCTAAGTATGACACAGATCTTTCTTTCTTTCTTTCTTTTTTTTTTTTTTTTTTTTGGTTTTACAAGACAGGGTTTCTCTGTATTGTTTTGGAGGCTGTCGGACCAGCCCGGCCTCGAACTCACAGAGATCCACCTGCCTCTGCCTCCCGAGTGCTGGGATTAAAGGCGTGAGCCACCACCGCCCAGCGACACAGATATTTCTTATGTGAGACTACAGAACATAGCTTCATTTTTAGTTGCAGGAACAAAAGGCTTCCTTTTAAATGTAAATTTACAACAACCAATGAATGAATGAACCATCCAAAGAAATAAACGATGCAAACAGCCAGTCTATTTTTGTTTGGCAAACAGCAAATCAAATAAAAATTTTATGTACGGACATTGCTTTTTCTTGACATAATCAAGAATTCCCATTTTTAAAAATCTATAGGAAATCCCTTAACATCAACAATAAATACTTAAAGATCAGTAATGAAAGAGTGCATCCCAAAACATTCTTTTATAAACAAAAGGAGATGATGACAAAAAGATACCACACAGTAGAAATTTATTCATTCTGCTTACAGGACTGATCACACATACGTGTGCCTTTAAGTGGGAAGAACATGTTCACTACTGAACTGTCCACGTCGTTAACCTTACAGCAAAGCCTAGCTTTGATTGGCTACCCAGGACGAGGTCATCAAGAACAATTACCAAGAGTAGATCCGCAGAAGGTGGCCTCCAACGTGAAGCTGTTCCTGATGCCCATCTTCCACATCACAACCCTTCCCGTCCCCTCTTTGCTCTTCTGAACATTAAACTTGCAAGCTGAGAAGGAAAACTGAGAAGCAGTGATTAAGAATGGCAGCTGTACTTTTTGGGACGAGGTTAAGAAGGAACAGACAGGCAGCCTCTTTCCCTTTGTTATTATTACAGATACAAGCATCCTTCTCATTGATTTTTGTTATATACAGATACATATGAAAATTCAACGGAGAGTAGCTGGGAGTAGCAGGAGGGGAAAAACAGGGGAGAAAGTGATGTATTTCTCTTTCATTTAAAAAAATTGAGTGGATAAAAACCAATAAAAAAGAAAATAACATCCTTGCAAAAATTGTAATTCTCAAAGTTGAAAGTGTAACCTTTTATTTCCTGGTCAATAAAAATAACTATTTTTATATTTTTGGTTGTGAGCCTTGCCTTTAAGACTGAGCCATCTCTCCAGCCCAGGAGGCCTAGGCAGTCTATTGGGCCTCTGGCAGTGGAACCAGCATTTATCCCTAGTGCATGAATGGACTTTGGGAGCCCATTTCCTATGGAGAGATACTCTCTCAGTCTAGATACACGGGGGAGGGTCTAGGTCCTGCCCCAATGATGTGTCAGACTTTGATGGTCCCTCATGGGAGGCCTCACCCTCCCTGGGGAGTAGATGGGGGGGTGGGATGGGGAGTTGGTGGGGCAGATGGGAGGACAGGAGGGAGAGGGAACTGGGATTGGTATGCAAAATAAGATTGTTTATAATTTAAATAAAAAATTCTTAAAAACATAAAAATAAAAAATAACTATTTTTACTTTGTTGTCCTATAGCCTAGGGTGGCCTCTAATTCACTGTGTGGTTCAGATTCAACTTCCGCCACCACTGTCCATGGTGGGGAATAAGTAAATTTTGTGGAAGATAAATTCATATTTTGAGAACTAGAAATTGTAACCCCAACAATAAATACACTTTTATCATCATATAACTTGTCCCAAATAAGCTTATTAATCTTTGCTACTATTAGTGTAGGATCTCATACTTTTAGGAAAACTTCTTGTTTTGTTGCTTGCTTTTTTTCTTTTTGAGACAATGTCTTGTTATATAGTCCAAACTAGCCTCATACTCATGGAAAACATCCCTGCTGAGATTACAGATATGTGCCACCCCACATAGCATCTTGTATTTTTAGTAAGTTCTAGAAAGTCTGCATGTTTCAGAATGAAGATCCATCCTGTAGATTTCCAGAAATAGAATGAGGAGTCTTTGCTTTCATATGAAAGACCTTGTGGAGATGTCTTGAAAGACTGTTTATAAAGAGATCGGTGTTTTGTTTTTTTTAACCAAGACAAGTGTCCACCAAGAGATGTGGGACTTTATTTTTAACATAAAGTTTACTTGTGTCCATTCTGTGATTTTAATTGTCACCATCACAAACAGAACAGTTCTCTCCCTGCCTCCCCTGCCTTTTTAATTCCCCTCATGCTATCCCCTGATGTCACATTCTGCCACCTCACTTTTTCCTTTGTCACTATGTTTGTGTTTCTGTGACTTCTGTCTAGATGGAATTGCGTTTGCAACCTTTTGAGACTGGCTTCCTTATATAATACCTTTGAGATTTATCCAAGTTATCACATTTAGAAATATTCATTCTCTTTTATTGCTGATGGGGAGTTCCATTGTATGCCTATACTACAAAAAGCCTAGTTTGGATTGTCTTTTAGAAATTAAAAGAGATTCTAAAAATTTTGTATGTACAGGTTTACATATGAATGTAAGTTTTCATTTATTTCTATGTTTCATCTCTAGGCATGTGATTGCTTGATCACATGACAACTGTACATTTAAGTCTGTAGGCAAACTCTTCTCTAAAATGTTGTATTATTAAGCAAGTTTATGAACAATGTATATGTGAGTTCCTGCTGCTCCAAATTCTTCTCAGTGCTTGATATAGGCAACCCTTTTTAAAAAATTTTAATCGAGCTATTAGACATATAATTGTATCTCTTCATGATTTTTACCTGTAGCTTCTTGATTGCTAATGAAGTAAAATGCCTTTTTCATATGGTTATTTATCATTATATACTATTTTTATGAAATATTGTGGTGGTTTGAATGTAAATGGCCATCACAGACTCATAGGAAGTGGCATTATTGGAGATGTACGGGTGGCTTTGTTGGAGGAACTGTGTCACAGGAGGGGCTTTGAGGTTTTGGAAGCTCAAACCAGGCCCAGTGGCACTCTTTCTTCCTGCTGCCTGCTGATTCAGAAATAGAACTATCAGTAACTTCTCTAGCATGTCTGTCTGAATGCTGCCATGCTTCCGGCCATGACAATAATGGACTATACCTCTGAACACGTAAGCCAGCCCCAATTAAATGTTTTCCTTTATAGTGCCATAATTATGGCATCTATTCACAGCAATAAATCCCTAACTAAGACAATATCACTAATATCTAATATCAATGCTATTTTATATAAATTTATTTAATTACTGAGTTATTCTAAATATAAGTTCTATGTCAGATATGCGATGGCAGATATTTTCTATTTATTGCATCTTTGCATCCTCTTTCATAGAACAAAAGAATCTATTTTGAGGAAGTCCAATTTATTTATTTATTATGACCCAATGTGAGTTAGGTTTATGTCTGTATCAGTTACTTTTCTATGCTATAACAAAATACCTGCTAGAAGGAACTTTTAAAAAGGAAGATTTTTTTTCAAGATGTATTATTTTTATGTATAAGAGTGCTCTATCTGCATGTATGATCTTATGTTAGAAGAGGGCATCAGATCCCACTATAGATGGTTGTGAGCCACCATGTGGTTGTTGGGAATTGAATTCAGGACCCCTGGAACAGATGCTAGTGCTCTTAACTTCTGAGCCATCTCTCACAGGCAGGCAGTGGTAGCACATGCTTTTAATCCCAGCACTCTGGGGGCAGAGGCAGGTGGATCTCTGTGAGCTCGAGGCCAGTCTAGTCTACAGAGTGAGTTTCAAGACAGCCAGGGTTGTTACACAGAGAAAGACTGTCTTGAAAAACAAAAACAAAAACAAAAAGGAAAACCAAGTTGAGTGTACAGTCTATGATGTTGGAAAGACATGCTAGCAGGAATTTGAGGCAGCTGGTTACATTGCTTCCCCAGTCAGGAAGCAGAGAAAATGAATGCCTGTGCCCAGGTCACTTTTGTATAGGATCTCAGTCCATGGAATAGTTCTGCCCATATTTAGAACTGTTGCAACAGTCCTCTTACTCCAATTAATCTAATCCAGGTAAGCTTTCACAGACACACACAGAGGCTTGTCTCTTCAGTGATTTTAGATCCTGTCAAGCTGGCATAATAGCAACTATCACAGTGTTCAAGAACCTTTTTTGCCTAATGTCATGTGACAAAATTTTGTTTTATGTGTAACACTTAAAATGTGAGGTTTAAGTGAAAGATGATTTAAATGTGGCTGTCCAATTGTTCCAATACCATTTACTGAAAGATCTTGCTATCAGATTTCCCATGTGCCTTGACAGAGGCCATGTATATATGTGACTCTACTACTGTACTGGACTTGATATCAGTGCCTATGCCCTCCCTGTACTACATCACATCAATCACAATTGTTTTATGCTATCTGAAAATTTAAGTGAGATACCTTTAACTTTTTTACAAGATTGACTTTCTAGGCCCAATTTCTTTGCATTACTTACAACTAACACAAATTTACTTATTCTGTAAACAATTATGTTTTGATTTTTCTTGAAATTGAGTTAATGCTACCCACTATCCAGGAGAGAATAAATATCTGTGTTTATGTCCAAATCCATAAATATAGTATATCTCTCCATTAATTTGGATCTTTGTCAGTATTTTTAAGATTTTAGCATATAGATTTACATATTTTGCTAGACTTACAAATACTCATTATTATAGAATTATGACAAAATAGTATTGTCTTAAGTTTTGACTTACAATTATTCATTTTGACTAGAAATTATGGACTGACCTTTTACCCTACAATGTGCTAAAATCACTTATTCTGAAAGTTTTTGTAGATATGTTGAATTTCATCTGTGGGCAAAAAGGCCTTCACTGCTTCTTTGTAGTGAGTCTGCCTTCTTACCGTTACTTCAAACGTTCAGAAGGATGCATGGAAAGAGAAGTATCGGCTGGGACCGTAGCTCAGTGGAAGAGCACTTGCCACATGTGTGAGTGCCTGGGATCAGCCCCTAGTCCTGCCTTAATAAAGGAAGGTGTACGAAGAAGCATCCTTGTTTTGTGATTTTATCTTATGAGAAAACATTATCTTATGAGAAAAACATTATCTTTAAAAAGTCTCTTAAAAAGTCTAGTATGATGTTAAGTATAGAATTTTTTAAATGGAAAATGAGATTAGGTTGAAAAACTCTTTAATCTTTATTTGATAAAAGTTAAAAATAAACTTTAATTCTTTCAAATTTTCATACATGTATACAATGTATCTTGATCATATCAACTCTTTACTCCTCCCTTCCAGTTCTTCCAAGATTCTTCCCATCTATCCCTCCCAACTTCATGTCCTTCTTTTATACATTTTTACCTATTTCAAATATCAATCTTTTATTCATTCTTTGATAATTCCATACAATATATTTTGGTAAAATTCATTTTCCTGCTCCAATTTCTCCCAGACCCTTTCCTACCTCCCTACCCACCCAACTGCATGTTCTTTCTCTCTTTCTCCCCAGCATCATCATCATCACTATCAACATCATCATCTTCTACAACAACAAAACCCAGGGAATTCAGCTTGTTTTGGTTGACTGTTCCTGTGTGTGGGGTCTGTGCTGGAGTGTGGTCAATACACTATGTATCAATCTGTTGAAGAAAACTGCCTAATAGTTCCTTACTTAGGGGTAGGACTCCATGCCTACTTCCCCTGCTCCATGTTGGGATTTTGTCTGGCTTGAACTTGAGCAGGTCTAATGTATGTTGTCACAGTCTCTGTGAGTTAATATGTGCATCTGCCCTGTTGTACCTGGACAATGCTGTTTCCTTGAAGCCATCTACTCTCTCTGTCCCCTCTTCTACATATATTCCTGAGTCTTGAGAGTGTGATACAGGCATCCCAACTAAGGATGAGCATTACAAAGTCTCTTTTTTCTCTGCATGTTGACCCGTTGTGAATTAATTAGCATCTAATGCAAGAAGAAGCTTTTCTGATAAGGGTTGAGCAGTGTAAGGATCTATGAGGATAGCCATAGCTATGTCATCAGGAATAGTTTTATTGCTATGTCCATCTATTTATCAGAATAATAGAAGCTGGTTTCCCTTAGAGTCCATGTCCTATTTAGCTTCAGGTCCTTTTTAACACATGAGTGTGGAGGCAAGAAGACAACTTGTAGTTTAGTCTCTCCTTCTACCACGTGGGTGGCAGGTGTCAATCTCAAACTTAGCAACAGGTGCCTTTACCTGCTGAGCAATCCTGTTGGCCCAAGAATTTTAAATATGGAATGACAGCCTGTGTCTCTTTCCAGCAAATCAATGTAACTTATGATAATATGGTATAAGTTTCCTAAATTTATTAATTGAAATATATGTAACAATCTTTCAGTATTTTCTAACAACTCATGAAAGAAATTCATCAAATTACAAAAATCCCAGGGTTCTTGAGTAGAACCACTAGGACACCCCTTTACTGTACTTGTCTGCAGAATATGCTTGAATTAATAACCCTCTTCCACTCTTGAATTAGTAATTTTTTGTCATCTTTCTCTTTCTGGTCAGTGTTGGTAAAGTGTTATCAGTAGTAATTATCTTTCCCACTATAAGCTTTGTTTTATGGTTTTCTCCACTATTTTTGTTGCCAACATCACCAACCTTTCCTTTATTCTGCTTGTTTTCAGTTTAGTTTTTCCCCCCTTTCTAATTTCTTATGTAGAAACCTAGATAGTGACTTGAAATCTGGTTTATTCTAATATAAGCTTTTCTTACTACAAATTTTATTCTAAGCAGTACTACATTAGCTGAATCTCAGAATATTTTGTATGTAGTATATTTATAATCATCCTTGAAATTTTCTCTTTGGCCTCTTTAGAAATGTGGTTTAATTTCGAAGAGTTTGGGCATTTTCTTCTTTTGTTGATTTCTAGTCTATTTCCCTTGTGGTCAGAGAGGATACTTGACGATTTGAATTCTTTTTAAAGATTTATTTTAAGGCAGGATCTGATATGTGTTGAGGACTTTTCTATGTACTTTTACAATATTGTGTATCCTGTTCTTCAGCAGAGTTGTTCTATAATGGCCAATCCTGCTGGTGTTGCTCAGTTCTTACCTGTCTCCTATTTACCTGTTCTTGTTTACTAAGGAAAGTATTTTAAATCTATACCTTTATTGCAGATTTACATGAATGTTGTAATGAGAATAATTGGAGGTGTCTGTATTTTAAGCAATCACTGTATTAGGGGACATCTGTTTAAATGCAGAATGGCTGGTTAGTGTTCAAAAGACGGGTTGATTCCATGTAAGGTATAACTAATTAGAGATTGAAGACTTTAAGTAACATGTCAATAAATACAAGCTAAAATAGCTTAGGGAAGTTAGATAATTTTATAGAAGCAATAAATTATATCTACAATTGCTGATATAACATAATAATAGATTCAGGTATGGGATTGCTTTCTCTGATTTTCCCAAAGGGATAAATATTCTTGGAGCAACAAACATGTTCTTTATATGAATATCTATTTCTATCAGATCATCCTTTCTGTTTGGTATGCTTGACCCCCAGTTAGTCTCAAGAAACAATATTTTTCAGTAAGTTCTTTATAATTAAACCACTTAGTTAAGAACTTGAAGTCTATGGGATTTTGTTGGTTACATTCTTTTCTCTAAAAAGGTAAAGTTATTTTATATTTATTATTATTTGGCAATTGAACAACTCCAAAATTTTCACCATTTGCACAGACAAATATACTGTATTCTCTTCTAATTCTACTTTCTATGTATTTTTGAATACTGGTCATTAATTTTTTCTTTGAAAAGTTCTAAGAAATAAATTAGTGTACATTTCTTAAGATCACAAACTTTAGTCTGTGTAACACTGACACTAAAAAATCTTTTTAAAAGGTTAGGTCTTGAAATTGATAATACAAATGACAAATTGAGGAAACTTCAAAAGGTAAAATAGCACCGGTCTTAGGAGACAAGAATAGAGGCGCTTTTTAAAAAAAATTTCCAAATTATTGGGCATTAAACAGACCCCAATCATTGTTTTCTCATGATCAAATGTAAAAATTAATTTAAAAAATAAATAAATAAGCAGGTTAGCAAATAGGATGAAGAACTTGACTTTCCTACATGAGCAGCATTTACTAAAGGAAAGTTAAACTCTTTTTTTTTTTTTTTCGAGACAGGGTTTCTCTGTATTGCTTTGGGGTCTGTCCTGGAACTCACTCTGTAGACCAGGGTGGCCTCGAACTCACAGAGATCCACCTGCCTCTGCCTCCTGAGTGCTGGGAGGAAAGTTAGACTCTTAAGGGTACTTACTTTATTTGGACAATTTTTGCTCAGCATAAGTGGAAAGATCCGTTGCTGTAAGTACAATCCTTTGGCTTTAGATCTGTTGCTACCATCACAGCCATACATGAAAATGTTCTGCTTCCTGCTATGGCCATGAAGGTCACAATATAAAATGACTTCTCGTTTCTCCATTAGCCTATCAAAAAGAAAAGGAATAAGTCACTAAATTTTACCTCTGAGTTTTCTATATGTGCTGTAGATTTACAAATATAATAAGAAAATTTAACATCTCCTTTTTTGACTTTTATGCTCTAGTTTTCCAATGTAACAACAATTTCCCCTCTCCCAGGACTCCTAGCAGATCACGCTGCTTTGTACTTTTGTTTTGTGTTGTCTGCAGCTCACCCTTCCTTTGACAGCGACCTTAACAAATGTCCTACCTGACTAGGGAGCCTTCGTCCTTCATCTTTAGTGCTCTCAGCCTGCAGAACAAGTTTTGTGTCTGACCCCTGCCTACCCACCCACTTCAGTGTAGAACCGAGAAGGTTCTGAAACTTGGCAACACCTTAAACACACTACTTCCTTGTCACCTATCTGGGAAATTTTCATGTTCTGTATTTAAGCTTGTTAAAGATGGGGAATGTTCAAAAATCATCTAGAATAGTGCTATGCACACAAGCACCCGAATACTTGTTTAAAATTGAGTGCCTCAGAATGTGGTCCTGCAAGCAATAAATAGTTAACCTCCTAGAATACCATTCTGAGAGAAATGACCCTAAAATTTAAACTGAATTTTTCTAATAAAATTCTAATAAATACTTAAAGGAAACTATCATGTATTCCTTAACACAACAGCCCTTCACCTGTATAATTTAATACTCAGCTATTTTAAATTAAAAAAGCAAGTTTTTCAAACTGATGATGAAGAGAACTGGAAGAAGAGGCTTTAAAAGTGGCACATGCCTTTGGCATCTAGGTGGCAATTGTGTAGTTTGGTCTTTTGTGGGGACCCTAGCCGCGGCACCAGGACCTGTTCCTGACTCATGAGCTGGCTCTTTGGAACCCACTCCCTAGGGTGGGATGCCTTTTTCAGCCTTGATGCAGGGGGGAGGAGCTTGGTTCCGCCTCAGCTTGATGTGCCAGGCTTTGCTGATTCCCACAGGAGTCTTACCCCATCTAAGTGGAGACAGAAGGAATGGAGGGGGAGGGTAAGGAAGTGAGGGAAGGGAGTGGGAGGCGAGGAGGGGGAACTGTGGCTGATAAGTAAAATAAATTTTAAAAAGATGAAAAAAAGCGGTGCCATGGTGGTAGTATTATGAGCATTTTTGTCTCGTCTTATTTTCAGACTTTATATGGTATTTCTATACCACCTAAACAAAATTACATGTGTTATTTGTTCTGTCTAGAAGGGTAAATACTAAAATGCTAACAATGGTTTTTATAAGTATATATTTATAAAAGTCAAACATTACTTTGATTAAAAATGATTATAAAATTTAAAAATAAAATTTGATGTACATTAATTTACTGATTTTATTTGATAAAATCCATTTAAGACAAAAGAATCAACATATCATTACAAGTTCTTAGAAAACTAGATTTTAAAGCATGACCTTTAGATATGAAACATGCCATTCTTTTTAAGTCCAACAGTCAGAGGTCTGGTGATAATTCAGCTTCCCACATGAGCAACATTAGAAAGCTGTACATCTATGCAATTAATTCCTAATGAAATACTACCCTTGAAGGAAAGTGAGATATTAATATTCCTTCAATTGAATTAATTAAAATAAGTTTTGACTTTCTTTTTGTCCACTGGTAATTAAGTATTATAAATATTTTATAGTAAGTATCCTAAGTGTTTATTCTTATGTGAACATGCTTTAAGTATACTTTATATTGTGTATACTTATACTTACATCCTGTACCTTCCTATGCATATGTGCCTGCCTTATTTTTTCTTGACTGCTCTTGATTAAATGAGTTAAGGGTATTTCTCTTTCTTGTAATTCTTTCAGAAATAATTGAATTGAATCCTGCCTTAACCTCTCTACAAGGCAACCTGAGAACTGAGACATTTAAATTAGCTTCCACAGAGACAAGTCAAGTTATATTGGCTTATAATCCATCATGTGTCAGACCAGGAACTCTTAATGTCAAAGGTCATTAAATAGACATCAAAGACAATATAATGGGCATTACGTCAGCTACCTTTATGTATATGTTTCATTTTAAAATAACAAGATCGATACAAAAGGTAGAAAAACTGCACTATCCTATTTCTTTTGCAGTTTCTCTTTTGGTTAGCATATTGCATAACTCTGTTATGTTCTATAGAACAAAGAAACCAATCTAGGTACATTACTAACCTCCCAACTTTATTTAGATTTCATTAGTTTTTCCACTAGTGTCCTCAATTCTATGCCAGACACCTGGACACTTTACATGTAGTCAGATTTTTACTGTTCACATTCCCAGAATAAAAGAAATCACAGGTTACTCTTTTGTTAAACATCCCACAAGGATGGCCTGGCATCCACATTTGCAAAAGCTATATAAAACCAGGATTTCAGGTTTTTGTTTTGTTTTTCAAGACAGGGTTTCTCTGTATTGTTTTGGAGGCTGTCCTGGAACTAGCTCTTGTAGACTAGGCTGGCCTCGAACTCACAGAGATCCGCTTGCCTCTGCCTCCTGAGTGCTGGGACTAAAGGCATGCGCCACCAACACCTGGCTGGGTTTCAGGTTTTTATGAGGATTTGCACTTCTTACTTTCCAAAGCAGATAAAAAGATTTATCTGAAAGTTAAAGTTGAGGCTAAACTGTCTAAGACTACCAGAGCCACAACAGGAGCTTCTACCTTCTGTTTCTCTGAGGAGCTGGGGGTGATCTTTGGTTCCTCAATTTTGTAACAAGTGCCTTGTGTTTGTCGCTGAGATGAGTTCTGGTATGAAGTTGGTTAAGAAGACAATAATCAGGATAACCCCAACGAAGACTCCTAGCAATAGTGGAGAGGGTGCCTGAGCCGGCCTTTTCCTGTAATCAGATTGTTGACTACCCTACTTGTCATCATAGAACTTTCATAAAGTAATTGATAGAAGCAGATGCAGAGATCCACAGCCAAGCACTGAGCCCAGTTCCTGGAGTCCAGTGGAGAGGGAGGAGGGATTAGATGAGCAAGAGGGGTGGTCAGGATCATGATGGGGAAACCCAGAGACAGCTGACCCAAGCTAGTGGGATCTCATAGACTATGGACTGACAGCTGGGGAGCCTGCATGGGACTGAACTAGGCCCCATGGATGTGGGTGACAATGTGTGGACTTGGTCTGTTTGTGGGATCCCTGGCAGTGGGACCAGGATTTATCCCGGGTGCATGAACTGGCTTTTGGAGACTATTCCCTATGGTAGGATACCTTGCTCAGTCTTGATGCAGCAGGGAGGGACTTGGTCCTGCCTCAACTTGGTATGTTAGGCTTAGTTGACTCCCCTTGGGAGGTCTTTCCCTCTCTGAGGAGTGGATGGGGGAATGGGAGGAGGGGAGGGGAGAAGGGAAAAGAGGGGGGAACTGTAGTTGGTATGTAAAATGAATTTAAAAAATTTAAAAAATGGGAAAAAAGAAGACAGTAATCTCTATAATGGAAGTTGTTGTTATAACAATTGAGTCATCCTAAATATTTACAATGAGTTTTCACATCTATATAATTTTATTAATACTTTTCTTTTGCATGTGAGAAATCATATGAATACATTTAGAGCTTTTAATGTTCTGATCTTTATTTGGGCATATTTTTAATACTTTTCCCATTTTATCCTCTTAACTTTGAGATATCAGTCCCATTCTAGAGACAACAAAACTGAGACTTAGGTTGGTTTTTAAATTGCACAAAGGTGCACAGTTAGCAAGAGACATAACATCAACTCTAATATAGTATGTTTAAGCCCCAGGCCCAAGGAATGGGTGTTCTGTTTCCAATAGACTTTCTATTCATGACTGTTATTACCTGAATCTATCTAATAATTCACCCTTCAAAAAAACTTAAGTACTAAGTTGATTTTACTGTTCTAGACTTAGAAAATTTAAAGGTGTTCAAATTCTTCTGTGGGCAAATGAGACTATTATTCATGAAAATTTAAATAACTACACCAACTAATACTCAGTCAGGCAGTGGTGGCACATCCCTTTAATCCCAGCAGTCAGAGGCAGGCTGATCTCTACGAGTTCAAGGCCAGCCTGGTCTACAAAGCTACATGGAGAAATCCTGTTTCAAAAAAAAAACTCAAAAACTAAAGGACTCATCCAGCACTGTGTAATTGGCATAATGCCGGAAGGCTTTGGTCTGTTGTTAATTTTCATATATAAATGATAAAAAAATACAGTGTAACCAACAAGGTTATTATAAGCTTTAGTAGGAAACAAATTTGTGATATGCAAACTTCACAGTTTCACAAAGACATTGAAATGTTCTGGAATCTGTTTCATCATTAAAGGGAAAGAGTTTGTTTACAGTGCCAGAAAGGTATATGATCAGAGTTGGAAAGAAAGGAAAATGCTTATCAAATACCTTAAGTTAGAGTAAAAGAAATGAATCGAATTGTATGAACAAAGTTCTTATTACCAAACTTACTAATTAAGCAGAGATACAATTTGAAGATTATTTTACCTATGGATCATGTTCCTTGTATACCAAACAGAAGGGAAAGATTCCTTCAGGAGAGATGTATAATTGCGGTTTAAATCCCGTCCAGCTAAGGAACATCGGTAATTTCCCACAATCACACCATCTGGATTCAGCATGGGTACCACCTTGAAGACGAAAGTGTCCCGAAGCAGCCGTGCATCACTTGAGTCTCCTAAAATATAATCTAGGAAGCCTTTCATGATCCAAGAGCTGTTGGTCTCTCCTGGATGGACCCTTGCAGTCAAAATCACAGCCTTGCGCTTTCTTGAGTCACTGTTCTTCAAGGGAGTAGTGATTGTCAAGACATAAACCATATTCCTAGCAAGTGTGTGACATAAGACACGTATTTTACAAAACCTAGATCTCACTGGGTCACTGTTGATGCCAGAAAGGTATTCTTGAAGGTTGGTGTAAGTGTATGGATAGCAGTGAGCAAAGTAGCAAGTATCCTTGTCATGTGGAAACTGAAATGTCCATGTAAGAGAAAAAAAATGGCGCCCATCTTGCCCAAGATTATTTTTATAATACTTGATTTGGTCTCCTATTCTCTGCCAGCCAATGTTATGAATCTTGGCCTCTTTTTCAGAATAGAACAGTGGCCTCATACCCCGATTGTAAAGACTAGAAGGCTTGGTGAAGTTGACAATAGTGAATCTGTAAACTATTTCTGCTTGGGTATTAGTGACCTGGAAATAGTACCACTGAGTATGCTTATTTGTGAAGAGGTCTGGACGCACAGTCAACTGGTATTCATAATCTGCCCTAATACACAAAAAAGGAAGGAAAAAAGCACGTAAGAATGATATTAGAAAAATAATCTTTATCTATTTCATATAGTCATAGACAGCTTTTCTTGGAAGAAACAATTTGTACTTAGAATTTGATAGCAAACAACCACAAAAAGTAAGTTTTGAAAGTTTTATTTCATGAGAAACTGATTTTATTTAAATATTTCTTTGTAAATGCAGAAACTCAATAAAATTTTATATTGAAATATACAATTGTATTGAAATATACAATTATTTCCTATAAAATAAATAGGTAAAGAGTAATTGAAACTGAAGAACAAAAATCAGTGTTTGGTGTTTGGCTTTTCTCCCCCTGAAGCACACACTTTATTTTCTAATAATTCCAGTTCTAGGAATATAAAATAACCATCACTGAGAAAGGTCTGAAAGTACATGTAAAGTAACAAAATTACATAGGTTTCAAAATTTGAACTTGTAGCAAAAAAATCTGGTAACTATCTATACCCATACTTAGTCACTGAAGATACTTAATGAAGGCAAAACACTTTTCACTGTAAGATTTACTTACATACTAATCTTTTCTGATTGTGACTTTTCCTTACCAAGCAGCTTTTTTTATAAATGTTCATATACAGAGTCATAAATACTGACCTAAGAATGCATTACATAAACATAAACCTTTAATATCCCTAATTGGCATTTATACTTCAGGGATTATAGTTAAGTAATGGAGATTAAGAACTTTAATGTACCTAATCCAAAAAACAAGTAGCTAATGGCTTACTTCCTCTAATAAAAATAATTAAAACCTACACTTTGACTACCTTCTGTAGATTACCACTCTCAAACCTCGCTTCAAACACCAAAGTGTTGTCACAGTTGTCCACAGGTTGTTTCAAGGGTGTTCGGTTACCCCCAACTCGGGAATACACAAAACAGGGCTCTTTGTAAGCTGATGAGAGAAGACCAAATCAGTGTCAGTAAAATAGCCAGATAATCTCATGTCCAACATGCTTCTAAATAACCCACAGATCAAAGAAAAGCATCACAGCCATATTAAACAATATTTTGAGCAGAATGACAAATCAGGCACTGCATCAACATTTGTGAGCTGGAGTGAAAGTTGTACTTAGGGAAAAGCTTGCAGCTTTAAATGCTTCTAAGTTTTAAACACTAGAAAGACTTAAAATCAGAGGACAAATTCTGGGTTCTGCTTAGGACACAGAATACCGTAAAGTGCATTGTTTTAGGTCTGTAACAGAAAAAATTACTACTGTGAGCAAATTTACAACTTAACTTAATTTTAACTACTGAAAATTCTGTTATCTATGGTTGCAGGACAAATGCCCAATTCAAAATCTAATGTCCCTCTAAAGGAGAGATGGGTCATGAGTACTTGGTGTAGACCACGGCGAGAAACATTCATTTTAAAACGTAATCAGTTAGGGCTGGCCGGATGGTTCAGTGGTGAAGGGGTATACTGCTCTTGTAGAGACCCTGAATTTGGTTGCCAGTGCTCAGACACTACCTGTGACTCCAGCTTCAGGGGACCGCGTGTGGCCTTCACCAGCACCTGCATTCTTGTGTACATACTCACACGAGACACAGAATTTCAAAGTAAGTCTTTTGAAAAATTGTAACTGGCATCAAATAGTTGAGTGTGGGTTAGAAAGAAAAAGCAGATCTCTGAGAGAATATGAGCGATATGAGGGATACATGGGTTTAAGGGATTTTGTCCCTATAATAGTTCATCGCGTGGACATATCCAGATAATCACACACACACACACACACACACACACACACACACACACACACACACACACAGAAAAACACATTTCTGAGAAAGCACTATGTACAATGCATAAAACCCTACCTAGGTCATTTCCCCCTCCTCCTTATGTAACAAAACCTTACATTCTTGTGGAGCAAGGACAACAAACACTGTCATCTTTAGGGAACAAGTGTTCATATACATTATCTGGGAAAAGAAAAAATTTCAAAATCCGAAATCCTTTACTACTTGGGGAAGGAGGGAATACAGGATGGATGTTTTGTTGCTGAGAACGAGAGACAAGGTGTATAACTAAGGTTTAAACAGAATTACAGAGTTCTGACTAAACGGTCTCCCCCAAAACACTGTAAGAGGCCATGAGTAAAAACTAACAAGGATTTATGAACTGGAGAATATGGAGCTCAGAGAAAATTTCCCTACAGTGTAGCATAATGGAAAAGATATAAAGCTAAGAACGGCCCAGAACTGAGAAGATCCCTCTGGTGATGTAGAGGGATCTCAATCCTGTGGTGCTGTAAAGAATAAATCTAATACTAACTTAATCCCCAAACTGACCCCCCCATCTCGTAATATACACTTACAGAATTAGAGCCTGGATTTTTTTTTCAGTTTTCAGACATAAAAATTATTTGCTTTTCCACATAGATAAACTCCTCAGCTACCAACCAGAGAATTTCAACACATATGCTTATGCAGGAACATACACAGAGACAATCCCACAGACATGCGTCAAGAGGGGAAACTACATAATCAGTTTAATATAATGAAGATGCTGGGTCTAGCAGGTAAAAATTTAGAAGGAGTAAGATAAGCTAAAGAACCAAGTATAAAAGAATGTGCAAAATCAGATGGAAATGTAAGAAAGCATCAAGCAGCGTATGACAAGGGAAGAGCAGTAACAAAGTCGAAACTACCTCTGACGAGCTCACCAGGACACTTTACAGAGCAAGGGAAATACTCAATAAACATGATGATGGTGAACAGAAACAGCCAAAACTCAAGCAGGAGTTTCTAAAACAAAAGTAGCACAAAACAAACAGAGTAAGAATGCCAGATCCAAGAATTGTTAGACAATATTAAATAACCTAGCATATTCACATTGCAGAGGGAAAGTGTGAAGAAACAATACTTGAGATTCTGACATTACACACTGGCACCACATCTAAGCTTTAAAAAGTTCATGGAACAACAAACATATCTATGTAGGAACAAGGATTGAAAGGCTCGGGGGTTACAAGTTTGGGACATTTTTCAAGTGCTGTAAGGTAAAATTTGTCAAGTAGGCAATTTTTTTCTGAGATAGAATTAATTTGCATTACAAGATTTCCAGGGAGAAGTGTTATTATATAGAAATTTAGATCTCCACCCTAAATAAGTAAATAAACAAGTTTTTGAAGGCCAGGCAGCTAGATAGTTCAGTCTGTACAGTATCTTCTGGGCAAGCAGGAGGACCTGCATTCAACTTCCAGAACCCACATTTTTAAAAGTCAGGTACAGTCACAGAGCCTCTAATCCAAGCATTGGAGAGGCAGAAACAGACAGACCCCTGAGGCTTGCTGGGCTACCCAATCTAGCCTAGTCAGTGAATTCCAGGCTAAAAAGGCACACTGTGAAAATCCCACAGTGGGCAGCATCTGAGGAATGGCACACAAGGTTTACTTCTGGCTTTCACACACATGCATATGCTCACATGCATGCATTCATACACACACAAAAGAAACTAGTACTAGAAATTAAAAGTAAAATAGTCACTTTTCTTAAATGACCTAAAAGATTATTAATGAAGGAAATAGTAACTTTGTAGCATATGAAAAAGTAAAAATACATTTGAAATTATGACAAAAAGGAAATTGGGAATACACTTTTTTTTTGTTTTTGTTTTTCGAGACAGGGTTTCTCTGTAGCTTTGGAGGCTGTCCTGGAACTCACTTTCTAGACCAGGCTGGCCTCGAACTCACAGAGATCCGCCTGCCTCTGCCTCCCGAGTGCTGGGATTAAAGGGAATACACTTTTATAAGATTTTTGTGTTATATATAAATATATATAGTATTATTTGAAAGTAATTTTATATTTACTTTTAAATTATTAGTCTTAAGGATTCATTTATTTGTATTTTATATGTATATATGAGTGCCTGTATGTATGTGTGTGCACTATGTGCATTCCTAGTGCCCACAGAGGCCAGAAGAGGGTGTTATATCCTTGGAACTGGAGTGACAAGTGGTTGTTCACTACCCAGCATGGATGCTGGAAATTTAACTGGGATCCTCTACAAGAGCATAAAGGGCTTTAACTACTGAGCCATCTCTCCATCCCCAGTTAATTTACTTTTGAGACAAGTCTTTTCTGTGTAGCTCAGGCTGACCTTGAACTTGTGATCCTCTCACTCAGCCTCCTGAGTGCTAAGATACAGGCATGTGCCACTAACACTCAACTGCAAGGAGAGTCTTTTATAAAGACATACATTGAAAAACCCAAGGTCACCACACAAAAACATAAACAGGTATATATAAATCAATAGTTGGGATAAATAGGACTAAATATAAGCAAATTGATCTCAAAAGATAAAATGTAATAAAAATAAAAAGACAACATAGTAAGATAGCAGGTATTGAATCTAGTTGCATCAAAACTTATATAGACTATAGTAATTTAAAACGTATCTTCAAACCATATAAAAAGCAAAGTGCAACTATATGCTGTATATACCTACATTTTTAAAAAATGAAGAAAACATATTAAAAATAAAATGATAGGGCCAGGCATGATGGCCCACGCCTTTAATCCCAGTACTTGGGAAGCAGCGGCAGGTGAATCTGTGAGTTTGAGGCCAGCCTGGTCTAAATAATGAGTGCCAGGTTAGCGAGTGTTAGACAGTGAGACCCTGCCTCACATAAACAAACAAACAAACAAAAAACAACAAAAAACCCCAAAATTTTAAATGATGGAAAAAGATATATCATATAAATATGAATTAAAAGAAAGCTCAAATGGCCATTTTTGTATCAAAGTATCCTGCTATGGACGAAGCCACACCATCAGAGTGTGATGTTAGCACAAGCGTCAATACATCAGCATAGAAAACACTGTCTGAAATAGATTGACATGTATACGTGAACTGACATTTCATAAAGGTAGCTAGACATTCTGTGGAGGATAGGGTAGTCTTTTCAACAGATCATGGTGAAATATTTTCAGAAATAGTTGAATGAGAAAATAAACCTTAACTTTTATATTCTAAGCCATGTCCCAAAAAGATCATGAGTATAAAAAGAGAGCAAGTTGTTTGTAGTCATACAAGGGTGAACTACTTTGCAATGTAAGAGCATCAAGTAGCACGGTGAATTTGAAGACCACAGTTCTGAGGTGAAGAAGCCAGACACAAAGCCATGCTTGTTATATGAGTTTATCTTCAGGAAGCTTAGGATCACTGATGAAAATCAGAACAACACTTGCTCAGGGGTACATGTGGGAATTCACCAGCAGGTGGACAACCAGGGACTTCGTGGGGTTCCGTATTCCCAGATCACTCTTCATACAATATACTTTGACTTAACATCACATCATAGCATGCAACATCACATCTTCCACAGCCTATCCTACAGCTGCAACTTTCTATGAACCTTAGTTCCCACTTGTACTTACTTTATATCTCACTTATTGAAACCCTTTTTGATCCTGTTTTTATTACTAATAAAATGGGAGAAATACAAGTATTTCCAAATGACCTTTTATATGCTAGGTGAAACTCAAGTATGGCAGAAAGTTTTCATCTTCAAATTTCATTTCCATTGTTTTCCTTTCAAACCATTTACACGCAAATCTTCACAACTGCCAACTTTAACGCTAAGATGAAGTGGTTTTAACAGCAATGCACATTGTTTCTCCCTCAGGCCCATGCTCTACCCTCTTCCCACTGCATATTTCTCCCCATCACATGTTTCTGTGGAGCTGATCTTCACGGGCTGTCTGGGAGGGTTTGAGCTCTGGCTGTGGACAGTAGGGAGCTCTGGTAGAACTCGGGAAGGTAGGAGGAGAGTGGCATTAAGCTATCTCCCGCCAGTGCCACAGGTGGCCACTGTATGGTTCTTCATGAAAGCCACAGTTGCTTGGGGGCTGCTTTCTCCCACAGTTAAAGGTTCCAGGTCCTAGAAACCATCCCACTTTCTTACTCATTCAGACCTAGGAGACAGGTCATTGTTCTGTTGATAGTCTCCTATTGCTTCAGTGTTTGTCTATCTGCTCAGCTCTAAGTCCATTAAGTTTCGTTAAGCTCTCTTAACTTACTCCATGTAAACTCTGACAGGATCTTTACTAACTTAAACCACTTACTTTTTTATAGAACTGATTTCAGCTATGTGTGGAAGATTTAATGTTAGTCATGTAAATATTTGAAAAAGAGTTTAAAAGTTGAGAGGTACTTATCAGTTTAGTGTTTATATATGTGATTTTTAGGATTGTCACTGTATAGAAACAGTCATTGTGAATTTTTCTTTGGCATGCTTGCCTTTTCAATACATATGCTCCCTGGAAGCTATTTTAATATATAGAAACAATAAGACAGCAAACTCTGATGATGAAATTTCATGAAAGTCCCATAGTTCCTGACATTAGTGCTTCAGGGACAGATTGGGACACTTGTGTTGTATAATCAGCATGTACTATCATAAAGGCAGACAAGACTTTTACATTTGAAGCGCTCTCAAAGTGCCAATGTTAAGAACACTTTCCTAGAATATAATCTTGAACCTCATTTGCAATGTAGATTATTTTCTTTTCTTTCAAAGATGGTAACATAAAAAATAACAGAAAATCATTTGAATGAGTCTACAAAGGTAAACTGCAGATAAAGAGGTAATAATGATTTTGCAGACAATATCACTAGACTTACATTGGAAAACAAAACATAATTCATTCTATATGGAACTCTCCATTTAATGGACAGCATATTTAAAATATGTCTTCAAATACATAATCTGTACTAAATATTTGAATTAATATGTAGTCATACATTTTTAAGACAACAGGGACTTCCTAGTAATTTGAAGTTCCCTCTGTAGATAACAAGTCTAACTAAGACATCAAACCAGACACCAAATTATATTTTATAGCAATGTGTTAGAGAGTATGCCCACCATCTTCAGCTAGATAAACCACAGTATCTTCCTTGGTATTTGGGTAAACTGGTTCTATTTCCAGGCCTGTTGGGACATATACCGGCTCAGGAAAAAAAGGAGTCCACTCTAAAAAAAAAAAAAAAAAGGAGGGGGCATTATTTAAATATGACTTCAAAATAAATTTGCATATATACTTTCAAATTACTAATTGATATATACCTAGCCCAAAATTCAATGTTTTATGTATTGCTAGAATTTTACCAAGGATTCATCACAAGTAATAACACTGTCACACTATAACAAAACTCATGACTGGATATGTACCTTGTTCTAACTTACTGTTGAGTTCAGCTTATAAGCTCTACAGTAGTTTCCACTTCTCTTAGTCCTCCAGGCCAGTTTACCCCACCTCTACATGTCTGCTTATTCCACTTTATACTTTCTGCTTCCTTTGTCTTCAGCCTTGTGCTTGGTCATCCCTTAAATTTGTAAACAGATTTATGTTTCTTCTCTCTCTAGGAAGGGTGAATATTCTCAGACTTTCACAAAAATTCCAATTATAATTTTTTGTTGGGAGTATTCTGAATCTATAAATTTGGGGATAACTGGTGACTTTAAAAGAATGAGCCTTCCAAAACATGATTATACCCTCTCCCTCTACTTTACTTTTAGTTTCTGTGATCAAACTGATGACAGAAACTTCGAGGAGGGAGGATTTACTTTTGTTTGTGGTTTCAGTGGGCTCATCAGTAATGGCCGGGAAGGTACAGTGGAGCATCTATCTCAGTTCACATCACACTACTGAGGGCCAGGGACCAGAGAAGGGATGCTGGGTGCTCAGCATGCTCCCTCCTTTATTCTGTCTGGTTCACAATGCTGAGTGGAGTCTGCATTAGGTGAGTCTTTCTAGCATCAGTCACTCCTCTCTGGAAATAGCTTCTTTACTTAGATCTTTAAAAATTGCTATTGTTAATGCTTTATAGTTACATACAAGACTTGTATGTCTTTTTAAAGGTTTCTTTCTAGGTATATTGTTTTCTAACTTATTTTGAAACAATTGGATATATGTGGAAAACGTACAACAGTAAACCAGAATTGTTTCCCTAAAATACTTTAACACAGTACTAAATCCTTTCCAAATACTTACGTATTCCTGACAAAGGAAAAAATCCTCTTGTACAACCATCAATACACCCATCAAGTTCATTAATTTTGGTTTGTTACTACTGTCTAACCCTCAGACCCTAACAGAGACTTTACCAGTTGTGCCAGTGGTAAAAGGATCCGCTTTAAAATTGCGCATTTTACTTATGTTCTTTGTGATTTTAATTTTTGAAATAGCCTTACTCTATCTCAGGCTGACCTTGAACTTGAGGATCTTCCTTTCCCGCTTCCTGACTCTACTACAGTACTGAATTGCAGGCTATCTAGTTACTCCATAATCTAGACAGGTGAGCATCCAAACGACAAAGTAGACCCTGAGTACCTGTCTAAGATGCTGTCGACTCCACAGACTGTTAAAAGGGCATAGTCACAGAATTTTAACATAAGTCATGAATATGTAAAGCTCCCTTTCAAGGAAGGGGGATATAGGACACAAAGGGTTAGCGCCTGCTGGACTTTTCCTCCATTAACTTCTAAAAAAACTCCACTAAGAGCTCTCTATCCATTTTTTCCCCTATAGAACAAGATACATAATCTAGAATAGAATGTCCATTACATCTGGGGAAAGATGTTATATTGCCTGCCACATCTGTTATTTTGTCTCTATATATCTTCATATTCTCATTTCACACAAATGCAATCATGCAATATCCTTTGTCTGACTTCTCAAGAATGTTTGTAAGGTTCATCCATCTGTAGCATGTTTTTAATACTTCATTCCTTTTATGGCTAGTTGATATTTCATTACATAGATACATCACATTTATCCATTTATCTCTTGATGCACATATGGATTGTATTCATATTTTGGCTATTGTGAATAACACTGCTATTGACATTTGTGAGTTGTTGTCTGGACACATCTCATTTTTCCTGGGTGTACCTAGGAGTAAAAACGCTGAGTCAAATGCTCTTTGACTTTCATTCCACAATGTTTCAAGTGATTGCATAGCTTTACATTCTCTCCAGCGTTATCAGGCTTCCAGTTTCTCTACATCCTCATCAACACTTGCTGTGATCTAACATTTTGATCTTAGTCATCCTTCCCGTAAAGTGGTATCTCAGTGTAGCATCAATTTGCATTTCCTTGATGGCTAAGATGTCTTTTCTTTATTGGCAGTCTGTCTAACTTCTATGACGAAATGTCTTACTGGATTCTCTACGTGGATTTTCAAAGTAAGGCACTGATGACAACAGTATGTCTTTGGGAGTTATTTATTATAGGAACATTCATATGTTCCTATAGCAGAACTATTATACAGGTTTTTCCTTATGCCCATGACCTATCAAGTTTCAGGTTTTAGGCCACTTCAGCAGTTTCAGGTAAAGGTTCCATTTCATAGAGTAGGCCTAAAATCCAATTTAAAAAATGGTTGGTCAATCCTATAAACATTTGTGTCATGACTGTATAGCTTTCAGACAGGTTTCTGTTGTAGGGGGCAGGGTTTGTAGCTGGGTGATACTGATAAAAATTACCTTTCTTCTCCAGGAGCATGAAGAGTACCTTCCAGTACTACAAGTGCTAGGTAGTAAGGATGAAACTTCCAGACAGGCACTAGCTCAACTTCTCCATGTTCAATGACATAAGTGTTGTCTTCAGCAACAAGGCCTTACCATCAGGTTGTGGAGAGCAATAAATAGCCTTGGGAATAGCCTGTGATACCTGGGAAGTGCCACGTGACCCCTCTGTATATTTCCTTACATGTGGATGTTAACTTTTAAGCTTTTGATATATGTGCCATAATCTAAATAGCCACAGAGGTTAGTAAGGGACTGAGGGGAAGAGAGGATCTCCCAAGGTAGGGAAATAGAATATAGTGTTTGGGAGGAATAAAGGGGAAACCATTTAGAAAGCATTTTCACTACCTTAATAGTTTCCTTGAAAGTATAATGCTCTAAACTTGGACGAAATCTAATTTATTGATTTTTGTCCTTATTCTTATTTTGGAGTTATCTCAAATCCATTTCATCCAACTGTTGGGAGTTTTCCCCTTATGTTTCCTTATATAGCTTTATAAATTTGGCTCTTATATTTAGATTTTGATGCTTTTTTTTGTATTTGGTATTAGGTGGTGATGGCCAAATTTTATTCTTCTGCATGTTTATCCAACTATCTTACCACCTTTGCTGAAAAGACTAATTTCTTACTGAAGTTTTGTGACCACTGACATGTGAGTTTATTCTGTACTTTTTTTTTTAAGGACAGGGTTTCTCTGTGTAGCCCTGGCTGTCTTGGAACTTGATCTATAGCACAGGGATTCATCTGCTATAATGTAAAATATCTGATATGAAGGATATTGTATGTGACCCCTGTGAAAGAGTTGTCTGACCCCAAAGGGGTCAGGACCCATAGACTGAGAATCACTGCCTTAAAATAATTAAAATAATGATCCTCAGGAAATTCAGTAAGATATGAGAAAACAGATAATTCAAAAAAATGAAAACAGCTCATGATCTGAATGAAAAACTCAACACAAATAAGGCATTAAAAAGCACCAAATAGAAATCTTGAAGTTAAAGGACTCAAATAAAATAAATTTGATAGCCACAACAGCAAAGTAGGTTAAGAAGAATTTCACTTTCATTGATTTCTGGAAGTAGCAAAATATAGAGATTTAGTTTTATTATTCCCCTTGCCTATATCTATCTGTATTTGTATCTGTACCTTTACCTCTGTCTACACCTTCATCATCTCTATAGTCTATCCATATTTCCAGTTTTCCAAACACCTAGTATTTTTTGTTGTTTTTAATGAAGATTATATTTTTTCTCCAGTGTGTTCTTGGTACCTTTGTTAAAAACAAAACAAAAAACCCTCAGTTGGCTGTAAGTAGATGATTTCTGGATCACCTCAGCCTTCCTACTAGTCTATGTGTCTGCCTCTGACAGTACCATCTGGCTTGTTTTGTCGTGATCAAGCTCAGGGCCTTGCACAGGCAAGAGAGCTAATTCCCCAGTTCAACCAGGTTGTTTTTGCCAACTGCAACTTCATAGTTTATTTTGAAATTCAAGTTTTGTGATGTTTTAAGATCTGTTTTAAACTCATTAATTATGGTTCATTTACTTAATGAAATCTAACAATCATAAAAAGATTGGTCTATATGAGCTAAAACGCAAAGACTTTGACAATAGACAATGATGTATACAATTGGCTAGAGAAAAGCTCTATTTTTTAATCTACATGGCACGCTAGATGTCTAGCTTTGACTCTTGGCTAAAAAAAGGACAGCAAGATTAGTAGATGAACTGTTTAAGTTTTAGGCTGCTCCGGTAACCCCTTAAAATTTATGAACTGATGACTTTCAGTTGGCAGTACATTTAAACAAGCTGTTTTAACCACATGCTAGGAAAGACGCAGAACTAAGTTTTGATTTGCCTTAGTTTCTGAGGCAGATTCACCGCACACATGTTGTTTTAATCAGACGTCTTTATGTGTGTGTGTTTGAGAATTAAGACTCTGGGGAGCTTGTACCAGGATTTCTTCTGGGCTCTAGCATTTGCCAGAAGCCTCTTTGTTTTGCTACACCATTCCTCTGCCTTTAAATAAAAGCAATCTACAAGTGGAACTCTGTTTAGTCTTGTATGTCCTGTCAAATATTTGTACTTGTTTTAAAAAGCAATCTCAAAGGAATGTGCAAGACCATGGAAAAGACTTTCTGAAATGGTAGCAAGTAGGGAAAGTTGTTAAAAACACCTGTAAGCAAATTTCTCATTCTTCCTGCATAAAGGATGTGACTAGCAGACATTGCAGTTTGATAACCTGTACAACCTGCAATTACAGGACACAGACTGATCGAATACGGCACAGCTCCAAACAAAGCTCTCACCCTGAGTGATTCTACCATGTACAAAGTGTGTCGTTAGTAGCTGTGAAACTTCCACTATGACTCTAGGGACCTTGGGAAATCAATGCTGAGAAAGGCATCATGGAGCATTTGTACCTTCATTCGTGGTGGAAGTTG